TTGATGGAACTACTGAATATAACTGAAAAATTTAGTAGTTCCATCAGAATGGAGTTTGGAGTAGACAAGTGTGCGGTCATGCATGTAAAGCGAGGAGGGATTGTGGAATCTGAGGGTCTAGAACTCTCAGATTTCACAAAGCTGAGATCACTCTCCGCAAACGATACATACAAGTACCTGGGTATGTCAGAAGGATTAGGCATTAATGGACCGGACATGAAGCAATCGTTACAGGAGCGCTTCTTTGGCCGTCTGAATAGGGTACTGAAAAGTTCCTTATCAGGCGGAAACAAAGTGCGAGCCTTTAACGGTTGGGTCATGCCAGTCCTAATGTATTCTTTTGGTATACTCAAGTGGACTCAGACTGAACTTGACACCCTGGATAGGCGAGTCCGGACACTGCTAACTGCAAATCGCATGCATCACCCTCGTTCGTCGGTCATGAGGTTGTACATCCCGCGGAAGTGTGGTGGTCGAGGCTTATTAAATGCTAAGACCCTTCACAACCGTGAGGTGTGCAACCTCAGGGAATATTTCCTGAAAGTCAACGAGGGTATGCATCGAGAAGTAGCCGCAGTGGACAATGGATTCACTCCACTATCCTTGGCAAAAGAGAACTGGCGCAAACCTGTGGTACTGAGCGTCAATGATCGCAAGGAGGTATGGCATAGCAAGGAGCTCCACGGACGCTTCTTCCGGGCCCTTCATGGGCCCAATGTAGATTTTCTAGCGTCCGTATCTTGGCTACGATTCAGTAATCTCTTTGGAGAAACTGAAGGATTTGTCTGTGCAATAATGGACGAAGTTATCCTTACGAATAACTATCGGAAATATATAATTAAGGATGGGACGGTTGACATATGTCGGGCATGTCATAGTCCTGGTGAATCCATTAGACATATAATTTCTGGTTGTGGTCGTTTGGCTAACAGTGAATATTTGCATAGGCATAATCAAGTAGCCAAGATTATCCATCAGCAACTTGCTTTACACTATCGACTTGTTGAATCTGAGGTACCGTACTACAAGTATGTGCCCGACCCAGTTCTGGAAAATGACCATATCACATTGTACTGGGACCGGTCTATCATTACTGACAGGACTATTGTAGCCAATAAACCTGACATAGTGGTGATAGACCGACAAGTACGCCGCACGATGATAATCGATGTCACCATTCCCCATGACGAGAACCTCGTGAAAGCTGAGAAAGATAAACAAATAAAATATCTAGACTTAGCTCACGAGGTTGTCGACATGTGGAGTGTGGATTCGGCTATCATTGTGCCGATAGTCGTGTCGGCCAATGGGTTAATCCCTAAAAGCCTCGACATCCATCTTAGGAGGCTGGCGTTAGGTGGATGGATCAAGGGCCTGATACAGAAGGCAGTTCTCCTAGAAACGGCACGTATCGTGAGGAGGTTTCTGTCTCTGGAGCCCTAACCACCGGTAGCTTGGACCATGCTCCCGCTACTGGTCGGCTCCTATTTTTTATATTTTTAAATATTATTTTTATTTTATAAGTAGTGTTTAAAAATGTAATTTATAGAGAATTTTAAATAAATATATGTAAATAATAATATATTAATAACTGTATTGAGAACCTCCCCCGTTTGTGAAGTCGGTAGAAAACAACATTTCAGATCGATAAATTTATCTAAGCTACAAACGATTAACTGTGGCAGAAATCAAAAATCCAGTTCAAACTGGCTTTAAATATACGATGTAAAAACGACTATTACATTACATAACGAAGTAATACAAAAACTTCTTTATATGTATAATAATTAATCACAATTTGGCAAGAAGGTACAAAAAAGGGTATAATTTCAGAGTTATATTGAAAAACAGTAGAGGTATGAAGAAAAATATCTCAATCTTATTTAATTATTATTTTATTAGACCGATGATCGATTTGCTTGGACTGAATTAATTAAGTGGTAGGTATTAAGACTTTAGGTACAAGACCTAGGACATTAATCATGTTATATTTTGCATACTAAGATAAAATTCGAATAGTGGTAGTGTGTGTTTGGATATATTTTTTATTGGGTAACATAAAAAATCTTTACTATTACACCGAGGAAACAAACACGACATAGGTACATTTTCCAGTCCATATTTTTCAAGAACGACTGCTAAACTGCCGATTCCCATATACACATCGCGCAGTATTGAATTCGACATTATTAGTAAGTTACGACGAACTTTAACTGTTACAGTTTAACATTTTATACCGATATACCATTGAACAAATGAGCTTATACAATACCAGCAGACCTATACTATTTTTTATAGGATAAGCCGGTAAACGAGCGCCGTATCACCTGATGGTAAGTAATCGGTGGCGTTTACAAGTGCGTTACCGGCCTCTTAGGAATTGGAATTTGAGCATTGTGGGGATTCGGGAATTGGGGAGACTGAGGAGGAGGAGTAATTGGGCCTCCGGTAACCTCACTCACACAACGAAACACAACGCAAGCATTGTTTCACGTCGGTTTTTTGGAGGCCGTGGTATCACTCCGGTCGAGCCGTGCCACTCGTGCCGAAGCATAGCTCTCGCACAGTTACTATAACGTAACTACACTTTTAAAATATTACAGACACACGTTTCAAACGTCATAAACGCTACTCAAATAGTAGAAAGAACTCAAATAGTAGAAACGCTACTCAAGTAATAAAAAAAGTCAATGTCAGGATTGACAAGAAGTTACAACATAATTTCACGTATATTAATCACATACATTGACATGTAAGATAACTATAATGTTTAAGAAAAGTTCAATAGATATAATATATTAAATTACCTTGTGGTTATTAGCAGCTAACGCCCAAACTGCGCGTGAAGCTGACACGATCTCCGCAGTGTCTCCAGCCAGCAGAGTCCCAGAAAGCAGTTCCAATAGGTCCGCTGTAAAAATAAAACCAATTATTTTATATCTTACATAATTATAATGTACAACTTGTAGCCTGTCTTCATTCGGGTAGGCAGAGACTATGGATCTATCGGTTCATCAATAGTCATCAGTGTTTTCATGAATATTTTTGCTATGGCAATCATTGTCTATGAAAATTTGTTAAAACGCCTGCAAGATATCAGCTGCAAGTTGACGTATTGAATTTCCTCAATGTTATTGAATTTATTGTTAATGAATCAGGTGTAAATTTTAAAATAACATACAAGTGAAACAAGTGAATTTATTTCTGCAAATAGGCTATAAGGCAGCACTTTTACACGTCAATTTTATCTATCAAGCGAACGATGAGGTCGAAGACAGACATACAGACCTTAAGCAAATCAATTTATCGTAAATTATTTAGAATATTTTTTTCAATGGATGCTTTAAAATAGTATCAATAAAAACACATTTTACAATGTTTTAACACCATAAAAATTGCTCTTTTTTATGGTGCTAAATTCTTCTCCATTCGAAACTACACTTAGGAACGAGCGCCTAGCTACACTGATAGACAGACGGATGGACGCACTTTTGAAACATTAAAAAATTTAATTTTGATCTTTCAAAAGTGCCTAATTAAGAATGAATTGAAATAAATGCTTTGACTTTGAAAAAATAAGACTCACGTGATTGTAAGAACGTGATACGTTGATGGTGCGCGGTATGAGCGATAGCGGGCATGAGTCCGGCCCGCACGGCGGCCGGCAGCGCGGCCAGCGGCGCGGCGGCGGCCGGCAGCGCCAGCAGCGCGGCCGCGCCCTCCGCCGTGCGCGCCGCGCGCTCGCACAGCCGCGCCCAGCTCGCGCCGCCCGCCCCCGCGCCGCGCACCCGCTCGCGGACACATAGCCGGTACATACTCGATAGCACTTCGCTCTGTAATAAACACATTTCTAAAGATTAACGGAAGATGTAAGCTAAATTAATTTTTTATGTTTTTGAATAATCCTTTTCGTAGATTAGTCAAAAACATTAGACACGTATTTTTAATTTACTTACGGACGGACTAATTAGATTTTTAATTTTCATACACATGACAGTGTCCACATCCCTATTAGGCCGTCTTGAACAAATTAAAAATCGAAGAATACTCAGAATAAACTCCGAATCATTAACATCGGATCACTATAAGACAGTAACATCAGTGCTAAACAATCAACTAGGTTAAATATTTCACTCTTAGCAATACTGACCCGTGAATAATGAACATTAACTCGTCGAGTACCGGTTTTGTAGACACAATTATAGAACAATAGGTTGCGGTCACCGGTGACCGCTTGGTGTTTGACAGTTTAAAATAAAATAACAATTATAAGAAACTATTAGATACTAGATACTATAAAGTTGAGCATAATTATATAAAAATCTCTTGCCTAAGTAGAATTTATAATTATAAGCTAATATAGACATATAAGTCACATTAACGACGAATTTACCTTGAACGCTTTTCTATCACTAGTCTAGGACTTAAATACTACTAAACCATCGTCTTCTAACCTTCAGCAGTATAGTCCTGCAGTGATGGTGCGGCAGTGCCCGGCGCAGGGTGTGCAGACAGTGCAGGAGCAGGGCGGGGGCGCGCGCGCGGCCCGCCTGCTGGGCCTCGCGCGCGCACAGGTTACACACCTCCAATACTATACTGCGCCCGCCCACGCAAGCACACAGACCGCCCCATGCTGGAATAAACATTAAGATTTAATTAGGATTTGCTTCCGTATAAAATGCTTACCTACATTTTTTGTAGAATAACTATGATAAAAGAGAAAATTATACTGGAATTGTATCAGGGGGTTGCTCGACTAGTTTCGAAGGCGAACAGGGCCTGTAAGTAATGAGCTGCACACGCAGTGACATTACGGACAAACGTATGCATACTGTGCACTGATGTTTTGTGTATTTACTGTCAACAATTCATCACCTTAAAATAAAAAAGAAACAAAAATATAGTTTAAAATTTTGAGGTACAAATCAAAAGCTTTCCATACCTTTAGGACAATTATTAGTAAACGTATACAAGAGATGCATGACGGCCAGTCGTAACTGTTCAGTCATCATACACCAGGGCCACAGTCTGCACAGGGAGACTGTCAGGTTGTCGTCCGCGAAGCTCTCCTTGGCCGCAGGACACTCCAGCATCAAGCAGTCCATTACCACCAGAAGCCAGTATAATGTTTGTAGCACTGGATTCTGAAGAATAAAGTATAGAATATTAAATATTAGAAGATTAAAGACGTTAAAAGGGGTACTAAGTGAAATGTGTACTTATGGTACAGCAGCCAAACTTTACCTACTTTGCACCTACTTTGAGTTTTTAATTAACATCACTCTCACATGACACTTCAATACAGGATTTTTTACTTATAAGGGTTTTAAGATGGTATGAGGGGGCGGAAAATTAATTAAAAAGATTCAGGTTTATTAGAAAGTGCTTGTCTCCAATCTCTGTCAAATGCGGGAAAAGCAGGAGTGGGGACAAATGATGTATTCTGCTCTGCTGTCACCACAGAACTTATGTTTTGAATGATGTTAACGAAGTATATATGCTTAATAGTTTAATAGTACTTTGTCCGACCTAGGAACCTAATCTGAGCATTCGTTCGGTATTTACCTTTATAGATTAACAATGTATTCACTTATATATTTTGAACACATATCGGCATTATGTATTCTATCGATCGCGAAATGAATAAAATATTACGTTCGACACGTCGCGGAGTTACTGCATCGTTGTACATAGAAACGACCATATAATAAATGAATTATATATTATTGCATGTCTGTAACGTGCTACAAATAATTATGTAGTACTATTTACAAGAACTGAAGTTAATGACTGCCTCGTTGGCCAAGTGGTCGCAAGTGAAACTGCCGGGCAAAGTATTACAGGGCTTTTAAAAAAAATCTCAGTAGTAGCACGGAGTTTCGAAATGTGCCCGGTATATGGCAATAGGCTCACCCCCTATTACATGGGACTCATAACATAAATAGTGAAAAGTGGATGTTACTTCTGAGTGTTCCTCTGCCTACCCCTTCGAGGACAAAAGGCGTGATGTTATGATGATATGTTTACAAGAAAAATAACGAGGCGGCTTCGTCCGTGTTGTATGGATAAATGTAGCCCATGTGCTATTTTAGACTAAGTCGACATCTACATCAAATATTGTTATGATATAGTTACTGATTTTTAAGTAGGACAATGTAATAAAAATCTTTAAACTGTGTAGCTACATATTCCTGAAGCTTATTTAATTTATACATTATTTTTCACATACGCAACAATTACCTATATTTAAACTGTCAAACACCGCGAGGACACCGGTGACCGCAACCTATTGTTCTTTAAACTGTCAAACACCGGGAGGACACCGGCGACCGCAACCTATTATTCTTTAATAGTGCCTATAATGACGGTACTCAACGAGTTAAAACTGTGACTCACATTATTCGCAGTTTTGATGACATCAGCAGGTTTCCCATGCATGGACAGATGGTCTCTTACAGCTTGTAAGGTGGTCAGCAGTATTCGAGGTAGATGTCGATGTACGGCATATTGGCGACTGCGATCACTCACTGATAGTACGGACGCTAAACATGAACATACGCGGATCCATCGCTCATCTGGAAAGTGAGATAATTATATGGTTATAAAGTTTTAAAGTCATTCAAGAGTCTGACTGTCGACAACAACTGCTAATGGCTAATTCATCGCTTGTGTCGGTCATTGTTCTTTAACAAGACGTCAAATGTTTCAAACGCTACAATTTTCTTCCGTCTCGAAGGTTACCCAGATCCGGAAGTCGAAAGAATAATTTGTGACAATAATTGCAATTTTTTTCTATTTTTGGAATGGCTAATGGGAAGGAATCAACATAGGATCAAGTTTGGTTTTACTAATTATAGATTTATAGCCTCAAGCAAAATCTTATGTGTTTAAACTAGTGCTTCAAAAACAGAAAATGACTACAAAACAAATATCATACAATACAATAACAACAAAAAACTGGCCTTATTTTCTACCAAAATACTAGATTTAAATCTCCAATCTAATCTAGTACCGAAAAGATTAGATCTAGATAGAAGCTATAGTCTTTGTAATAAATTAGACCAAACACAGTCTAGATTGTATATAAACACAGCCATATTACTATTAACATAATATATATCTTGGCTAGTGTAAGTGAACTATGACATCATTTAGACTAAGATATCTTCGTTCATAAACAGTGAGTTATGATTACTATCATTAATTACACAAATGTTAGTAACATGTGATATAAATTAGATGAATTAAAGTTGATTTCTTGAATAAACAAGACTCTCTTAGTCTGATTGAGAGCATTAGGAAATGGTTATCAGTGATGTACTTATAACAGTTATGTTTACGACATGTGGAATAGAGTATTGTATTATTTTTGAATAGGCATTAATAACCAAAATTCAAGTATATCTTTCTATGTGTGACACAAAAATAACATTTAATAAAAAACATTCCCAAACGTAATAGAGCTATTGAAGTACTTTCCCACTGAAAAATATTATTCAGACATTAATAATAATGAAATATTACTCAGAGCAAATTGACATGTGACAGTTTTTAGTATAGAAGAATTGTCTAATATTTAAAGTTATTCCTCAGTTAATATTCTGGCGAAAACATCTCGCGTTGGAAAAATCAGTGTAGACTGTGAGAGGCAAAAAGAAGAATGATATAGTGTGTGATAGGACGACGTCTGATAGAACGGAATAAAAAAAAACGAATAAATACTGTACTGACCTCAAATTGCTACATAACATAACATTACGCTTTTTATCTCCGAAGGGGTAGGTAGAGGTGCACATTACTTTATGCCACTGTTAAATTAAACAAAATTTTTAAAAACCCAGTAATACTTTCTCCGACCCGGGAATCGAACCCAAGACCCCTTGGCCGGCAGTCGCACTTGCGACCACTCGGCCAATGAGGCAGTAAATCAGTCAAATTGTTATTTATTTGCTATTAAATTTGATAATTATCGTTACGCATTAACCCCGTGATCTACGCGAGACTCTATATTATGTTCTCTATTGTGTCTTCTATTGTGTCTCATATACCGGCCCGGCAGACAAGATGTTAACCCAGATGTTATTCTATTTGGTACTAATGTACCAGATAGAATATCAGGTGAGATAATTCTCGCCTCATATTGCCTAAAGTAATAGAATGAAAATTCCATTAAAACTTTTTAATAACTTACAATGTAAAACCAGCGACATAATGTAACCACAGCACACATACTTGTAATTAATGCATTACATAATACACAATCAATAGTTTATTGATCTAAGTGTATGCATTAATGTACCTATTTCAAACAAATTTAATTAAATGTTTGATAACGTAACATGCGAGTAAACTGTCTGCTACCAAGCTAATTAAACAAACAATGTGAGACTACTATGTAACATACGTTTACGGTAACTACATTTCAATGTAGTTAATGTTGAAAGTTAAAATTGATTTCCAACTGGAAAAAAATACAGAAGGCAATTCCTCTGTCTAATAAATATTACGATTTAAGCTTGGTGATGAATAGGTTCCTAAAGACGGCTATAGACTATTGTTGGCCACGTGCTTAATGTATCTAAACTGCTATTATTTTTGACTAAAAGTTCTTCTTTGTCAGCACCGCTATTTAGTATGCAGGTAAGAAAATAAACATCGATCCAGTACAGAGACAGTAAGCATTGATTGGCTACTGAACCGGCCAATGGTTACAGAAGATATAGCTCGGTTAAAAACTATATAATTTAGTTTAATAATAGCTACTGTCTCTATACTGAGTCAACCTTTATTATCTTACGCCCGAATACTGAAAGGCTACTTAATTTTAAATTGTACTTAAATATCGTGCCGTCTCTTTCATTTCACAAAGAATTTGTAGAGACAGACCTATACTTAAGCACGACTTAAAGTTGAGTGGCGTTTGAGTTTTATTACTTACATACTTATAACTTTGTTGACTACAATCACCTACATTAAACCTACGAGGGGCCAGTAGAATACCAGCGCAAGGCCCTGTCTTGCACATGTTGAACTGGTCCCATTTCGCGGCAGACTTGAGACATGAACATGTATCCATCAGTACCTACTAATACAATGACTTTTTGTGCATGTCACTTGTTTTTTGGCGTGAAATATAGTCTTTTCTTTCTTTACATACCTTCACTAAACTCAGGTTTCTTGTTCTCCAACGCCAATTTCTTGTACATATTAAGCAGAGCTTTGAATATTTCTTCAGCCAAGTACTCCGGTTGGCAGTCGTAACTCCGTGCGCTATCCCCTCCACCACACTTGTCAATCTGCACTCCATCCCAGTGAGGAGATTTGAGATTGTCATAGAACTCTGAACAAGTCTCGTCTTTTGTTTTATCTGCGTGTCGCTTCTGTGACATGGATTGCGTCAGTTGCGTGAGACAATATAGGGCTGCGTCTTGGAGTTCTGTAAAAAAAATATAGTAGATGTATTATATCGATACTAGTGTGTAAGGTAGCCTGTATCATTCAATCCTTTTGCATAGGTACTCCCTAATATATAACTGACATATAACATGTCAAGAAGATTGGTATATAAAGCGTAAATAAGCAACAATTAAAGGAAGTTGCCTTTCCCATTTCAGTTAGGATCAAAAACGAGTAACAATACAAATGAATGTTCAAAGAGGTAACTGTTTTTCTATGACCAATTTTTTGATTCTGTCAACATTAATTCTTATTTTATATCTGATTAAATTGATGTATATCAACTGGCTACAGATTCCAATTTTAGTTTGATAAAATAATTTATTGTAGATTTACGATAAATACACAATTATTGTAATGAAACATTGGTAAACAGATACAATCAAACTTGCATGTAAACAATCTGCAATTATATACTTATCGACAATCCCATTTCCGTTATAGTTATTGGAATCGGTAATATTTTTAATCCCATCCGTACTAAAGTTCAAAACACGACGTGTGGTCCAAAAATAAGTTTTCTTTTTATTTATTTTAAATAATGAAACTTATGTAAATTACTAGCTTTTACCCGCGGCTTTGCTCGCGTCACAAAAGGATAAAAAGTAGCCCATGTGACATATACCAATACACACAGCGCCATCTATACCAATACTTTTGTTTTCCCTCGGGAATATCAATTTTTTCTGGGATAAAAAGTACCCTATTATTTAATCCGGACTTCTAACTTTACGTCTGCAAAAATTGAAAGCAATCGGATTAGTAGTTACGGCGTGAAAGCGGAACAAACAAACAAACTCACTTTCTGATTTATAATATTAGTAAGGATTATCTTGAATAATAGACAAAACAACTTTGATTTTTGTTTTTTTTTAATAGAATAGGAGGCAAACGAGTGCACGAATCACCTGATGGTAAGCGATCAGCGCCGCCCATAGATACCCGAGGGAGTCACAGTGTATGTATATAAATAAAATTAACATACCAATCTCATCAACTTCCAAGCTCTGTAGAAGTAAATGGAAGAAATCAGTTTGATGCGTGTCTTTTAATGCTTGCCACACGGTGTCGCTAGCTGCCTTCTCCGCAAGCAACGACGCGAGCAGCGACATAGCTTGCGCACGTGCCACAATGCAGATCTCTTCCTCTTCATCTGCAAATTATTGGTACATTGTTTTTATAACATGACATTGATTTAGGTGGATGCAAGTGTGCTACAAATTGGACAGATGATCTGAAAGATTGTAAGAAGCCGCTGCATGCAGCCATTGCAAGTCTGTTCTAACCAGTTCATCTGAAAGCCATTGAGGGAGACCTATGTTCAGTACTGGACGCCTTGTGACTAATATAATGATAATAAGTGTACTACTTAATAAAGTTTTTATTGCGTTGTTTGGGTTTCAAGACAACGCAATAAATACAGTCTTGTTCAATATCTTTTTTTAAAGCCCCTCTCTAAGATTTCCGCCTGTATCGTGGGTACGTTTACAAACATACAAGTTGACATATACATGACACCCAGACCCGGAACAACAATCTGTGGATCACACAAAGAGTTGCTCCGTGCGGGAATCGAACCCGCGACACTTTGCCGCGGCAGACAGTTGCCCAGCCACCGTGCCAACCGTGCAGTCGAAATCGATATCTGAACGCATCCCGTCTAATCTTCACGAAAAATATGTTATACTCGCTTCTGCCAACCAGTTCACTCACGTTCCCGTGAGATAAGAAGCCCATGTTTATCCCAGACCATAATCAACCCGTTTAAAATTTCATCCCGATCCCTTTAGCTGTTTTGTCGCGAAGGATTAACATATATGTCCCATACTTATTTGTGTACTGTTCGTTTTGCATTACGTATATATTTTAATACTTCTTCATTATATTTATACATATCAATGTATGATTATATATATCTAAGTACATGTCAATGTATGTTCAATACTCATAATAGTGTTAAACGTTTACACCTACTATTGTGTCTCTCTGCATCACCCTAAGGTTGACCGGTAAAGAATGCCACTAGGCATTAAGTCCGCCATTGTATACAATTGCAAGAAGTGTAAATAAATAAATTAATTAATTAACAACCGAACACAAAAATACAAACTTCGCATTTACAGGATACTCTTTTGTAGAATAAAAGCATTGAGAACCACCTTCTTTTTTTGAAGTCGGTTAAAAATGGAGGTATGCTTATTTTTACTACGTATAAACAGTAGTAACCTAAGTACATAATAAAAATCAATAGGTCAATAATTGCTGAGTAATTTGCCATGAGATCGAATATCTTCAGAGTAATTAGCTGAGTACAGTGCAAACAAATGAAAACGATTGCGAGCGATTTGGCGTAATACTTCACAGTTAATTAATTAATCAATTGATCAATCCATTACCTATACTTCTATGTTTAGAAGAAAAAACATTATAAGGGCCAACTACGTTGTCAAAATATCATTGTTTAAGAGACCTATTCTTTCATTTTAGGTAAAACTATGCTTCAATCTCTATCTATATTTTGCACAACAAAATAACAAACTTAACCTGACAATTTCTGGTTCAATACACATTAAAAATAATTGTGAACTACTGCTATTACCAGTTAAAACTAGCATACATCAAAATGAACAAAAAAAACCTAAAAAAGTACAAATGCGACTACAGTACAGTAATGATTTGTGAAATCAGCAAAAAATATTGAATAGATATTTAACGTATTGCAAAAAATTTATGCTTTACAGACAAAGGCCTCGTCAAAAAGGTGCGATTCTATATTTGGTACACGACCTTGCCATAAGTGCAAAAAAAATTCTCCGAATTGTATGTATGTAGGTATGTGTATGTGCTCAACTTCCGAACAACTGCACTACAATGAACAATTTTATTTTGTTAAAAACTTAACATCAAACATAGCGCAACTTTTATTTAGGAACCATATAAAAACACCAATTTTTTACCAAAGAAAAACAATGTGTAACGTAGGATTATAACACGTTTCTCAATAAGCATTCTGATTCAAAGTTAGTTACCATACGAACACGAATAGATATGAATTTACCCATTCTAAGTAATGAATCCCGTCCGGGAAAACAAATCATAAATATCTATTTTATTAGGTACTGTTTACTCAAAGATCTTTGAATTATAGACAAATATCTGCTTGTTCGATATTATTTATTTGGAATCGTTATCTTGTAAGTTATAGTCCGTACTTAATAATAATTACAAGAAACAAAGTCCTTATGAATGGTTACAAACATACAATACTAAGTTTTGCACTGGACTTGTCTTGATCTTCCTTTAACCAAAATGGATTTTTTTTATGGGCCTAGCCGTTACACAAGCAGATGGTATGCAATCGGCGCCGCCCATAAACACCCGAAACACCAGAGATATTACAAGTGCGTTTACGACCTTTTGAGGATTAGGAATTTGTGGAGATTGTGGAAAGGGGTTATTGGGCCTCCGGTAACCTCACTCACCCGACGAAACAGCGCCAGCGTTGTTTCACGTCGGTTTTCTATAAGGTTTTTCATTGGATGTCTATAGATCATAAATCTGAAGTAGATTTTTCCTCTTGTTGAAATCCATGCTGAATCATTATACGATCGTGTGTCTTTAGTCAATAACCTAAGGCAACAAGACTCTTTGTGTCACAACTACGCAAGCAAATATGCTTAGCGCCTCAAGCCGCCCTTCGTACAAGATAAACCCAAGTACTTTCCTTGATAAACAAACACATCTTAAGTGTTTTTCCTTGAAAACTTAAACTGCACTGATAAAACCATTCTGTCATATTTCCGTAAAATTAGATAACGTTTTGTTTGTGTTCTTTGGACACGATTGTAGGATTTAAGGAGTTTGTAGCTGAAGTCTTAAGAATCCCTTTTTGTAACTTAATAATAAAAGTACTATCTATCTTAAAAACAACAACAAACAAAAGTGAGAGTATGTAATCGATATCCAATTAAGAGAATAAATTACACCATTAAATATTGTAAATGTCCATTCGCAAAAAGGATAGACCAATAAATATAGGACACAAAAGGAAAAACTACCAATTTAACTGTGAAGTCAGCCTAATTTATAGTATCTATAAAGTTTTACTGAAGTTATGGTAACGTACCTTGTGCGAATGGCATTAAAGTCATTAGTAAGTTGTGTAGACAGTCCTTAGTCGCGGCGAGGGATAATCGGACGCATTTGTGCGCTGTCACGGCTAGAAGCGCGCGACATGCTGCGGCACGGACTTCGTACGTCTCGGTCTGGTTGTCTACAGACCAGGAAGCGCATCTGAAAACAAGGAGGTATAGGAATAACATATCGTACTCTTGGAAGGGGTAAAACATATGTATATAGGTAGATATAAGAGGTATATACTACTTGTTTAACAATATTTTCTGTTATATAGTCGGTTGTGGGTCGTTGATATGCTTAGTAAGTCTTAACTAACGTTCACAAACACAAATACACGTTTTATCCGGGAATGAGACGATTGAACTCCCGGCGATAGAAGAAGTATGGGTGCCATGTGTATGTGAACTTGTATGTTTGTAAACGCAGTTACGGACACAGGAGAAAATGCTAGTGTGGTGCAACGTGTTTTAAAGAAAAACTGATGACGCCAAATAAAGTTTAGAAGAGGAGACGATAGCTCATTAGCCTTCATAAAGTCATAATAATAACAAAGAAATTATTAAATAAAATATACACTATAGTAATACTATCTTTAAAACTACCTCTATCTGATATTTACTGTATCTCATAATTCTTCCTTGTATGCAAGAAATACAAGTCATACATTCAACTAATTATAGCCAGCTATATTTAACGCCATCGCTACGATCTTAAGTGTGAACATTTGTATGGCTAAAGTTTATCATTACTTAACAATAATGACTCATTTGTCATTAGTCAAGACAGCGTGTACAAGTGCTTTGCAGGATACAAATAATGTTGAATACAATGTTTTATTTAAATACGTTTGTCAATAAAAATAAAGAGGTCCTCTTTTGGTTTGGATATAGGCCCTTTCGTCCATAGCAAGAGAGGACAATCGTCAAGCGAAAGCGAGTGATGAATTTAAAGTTGATAGTTACAAGGAAAGATGTCCAAAGAAATAAGATTAAGAAATAAAAGTTATTTGTACTCTGAAAGGAATGGAAAATGTACGTATTTCACCGAGCAGTAAGGATAGTTTGGACTTGATAAAAGCAAGGTAATAATTGCATGACAAATCAATTTTAAATGTTTAACTTCTCATGAGGCAGAAAGACTTAGGGCCGGTTTTTCGAGGAATAACTTTGAATATTTGACAATTCTTCTATACTAAAAACTGTCAAGTGTCAATTTTATTCTACCTATAGTTAAGTTAATTGTCCTTTCAGCTACTAACAACTAAAAACTACCGCAAAGTTAAATTCGACGGTTCAATAATTTTGCCGTCACCACTCGACACTGGCAGTATAGTCGACAACAACATTTTGGAGACTCGGTTGCCAAAGAAAAAAAAATAAAAACAAGTGTTAACTGATGATTGAAAAATCGGTCCTTATTGAAGTAAGTTTAACAATAGGTATATTATAATTTAATAAACCTACTAACTTGACTAGGTAGACAGTAGGTACTGTCTCTAACAAACATTTGTTTTATAACACGCGCAGAACATTCCATACTTTTATACTACTGTTTTATTTCTTCACGAAAATAACTGTAACAGAATGCATTTTCAAACAACATTTTGATATATTAACTTTTCCAGCGATTTAATCCTTAGTTTGTTTCCTTCTTCGCACTCACAACTATCATGTACATTGTATACACAATTTCAAGACGGTTGGTTGAGTAGACAAAGCATAAATAGGTAACAAGCAAACTTGCTGTTGCATTAAAAAGGCTTCACAGCCGGCGGGACCAGTCTCAATCATGTCAGAATGACAGAAGGGCGGAAGCAATATTGCCTGCTAATAGCTTTGCAATATAGTTGCGTGTGGACTAATAGCTTAACTGGATCTCGAGTGCGTTTAATATACTTGTTGACTGATGAACTGCTATGAATAGCGGTATGATATAGAACAGTAATTTATACTCAATTAAGTTCATACAACGTTGATATGGGACGTTTGGTGAATTCAGGCGTCATTTTTATGTTAATTCGTGTGTATTTTCTTACTGTTTTGGAGAACAATGGGTGTAATTGTTTTGTTATGTGCTTTGTAGTGAAAAATCAATGAAAATCTTTAGAAGATCAGTCGCATTATCTTTTTTTTCTTTCTCTCTCTCTCTCTCTCTGTTTTTAAACCTTTTTATTATTTGTTATAATGTGTTTTTTTGCTCCCGCCGAATAACCATATTTCATTTAATTTCGTACTCGTCACATTATACCTTACATAAAGTCTATATACATTTCTTCAAATACCCTCGCTAAGTTACCCACATTACTATACTAACTAAGTACCTACTTTTAATTATTTCCACAGACTTAACAATTAACACCTAACATTTTTATACACAATGCCATCATGGTAATAACTTTGACTTTTACATTACATTGTTTTGAATCTCCGTCAATGTACAGCGCAATTCCTAATATTCTTTATACGGTAACGATCTATTGTTGTGGTTGACGCAATATCAATAACTGTATCTCGAACGACTTCAGATGTTTTATTCAAGTTATTTCCTGGAAAGTCTTAGGTCTTTTATCAGTATACTTCATTTAGGAAGTGCACTCAAGTGCATCGGGGAAGACCCAATTTCTCTTGACGCTTGAACATTGCGAACGGAAATATTTTATCTCTAATACTCAATTCTTAAAACTTCAGATAAAGATAGGTGCTATCTGAATGAAGTGACACCTCGTATTGCTGAAGATTTACTGCATTACTGGGCAGGTGTGGCTGACTTGCAGCTTGAATTACACATGCAAATAAAAATTATTTTAGTCATTATACCTGAATAGAAGTCTGTATAGTCCTCGCTCATTCCAGGCTTGGACGGGGCAGTGTGGGAAGGCGCTGATATTGTGGAGTGCATCAGCTAGGGCTGTCACTAACGCAGCAGTAGGGGGCGGCCGCGACTTGTTGGTAACCTGAGAAGCTGACACATGCTCGTCCCCACACTTCTGCGCACGCACCTCCAACTCCGAACGGCGCTCCAACAAACTAAGCGATACATTCCCTTCTAGAACATAACATAACATAAAATAACATAACATCACGTCTTTTATCCTCGAAGGGGTAGGCAGAGGTACATTATGCCACTGTACAATGTAACATGCACTTTTCACTATTTATGTTATGAGTCCCATGTAATTGGGGCTGAGCCTATTGCCATATACCGGACACAATTCCAGACTCCGTGCTACTACTGAGAATTTTTAAAACCCAGTAGTACTTTGCCCGAGCCGGGAATCGAACCCGAAACCCCTTGCCCGGCAGTCGCACTTACGACTACTCGGCCAACGAGGCAGTCCCTTCTAGAAATAAAAACATATTTACACACCATCCTTATCAAATACATCAGTAGGCAATTGATACCATATGTTAGCGATTAAATGCTCAGAGTGATTAAAATTCCTATTACATGAATACGATTTAGATTTATTATCGCATTTCTGATAACGTGATACACACACTTCAATTAATGAAATGTGTAAAGTCTAGACTTCATGGAAATCCGAACACTTGTGTATTCATACATTCTTTTATATTCTTGCGTCCGTAATATAGGACGCTGTTATTCTCGCAGAGTGTTTACGTAATCTTTAAAAACAAATCTAATCTTAGAGACGTTGTTATTGAGTATCAGTGATAAATAAATTGCGAATCAGTATGTGAAGCGTATCGTAAGTTACTTTTATCTTACAAGGATGAACTCGACAAGTATTTCATGGAGATAGTAACTCACCGAACGACTGTTTGTAATCTTTGGCGTTGCAGAAATCAACAAGAATTTCTAAACTATTCTCTATGAAGTTGTTTTCTTCCAATTGTTCTAGGACATCGGACTCCAACACCTGGAAGATATAAAATTGTATGAAAACGTTAATTCCTGATACACATTTACTTCTGCTTATCATGTTAATGCAAAATCTTAATTCTTATTCTTATTAAACTGTCAAACACCAAGTGGTCACCGGTGACCGCAACCTATTGTTCTATAATTGTGTCTACAAAACCGGTACTCGACGAGTTAAGAAAAAACGTTGCCCCACATTAGCATTTTCTCCTGTATCGTGGGTGCGTTTACAAACATACAAGTTCACATACACATTAATTAATGCATAACATAAAATAACATCACGCCTTTTATCCCCAAATTGATAAGCAGAGGTGCACATTACGGCACTTAATGCCACTGTACAATGAAACACCCACTTATCACTATGTTATGAATCTCATGTAATAGGAGAACCTATTGCCATATACGGAGCACAATTCCAGACACCGTGTTAATACTGTCATTTTTTAAATTCCATAATTTGCCCGATCTCGGAATTGGGCCCGAGCCCCCTTTCCCGGCAGTCACACTTGCGACCACTCGGCCAACGAGACAATCTTAATTAATAAATAAATAAAATAAAACATCTTTATTAATATTGTTACGTTTATGATCTTGATTATAACCATAAACATATTTAAGAATATAAGAACATTTTCCTACACTGTTATACTATTATTTAGAACTCTTATGCCGGAATACTGAAACGTTACTCAATTTTAAGTCGTGCTTAAATATCGTGCCATCTAAGTCAATTTACAAAGAATTTGTGGAGACAGAACTATACTTAAGCGCGACTTAAAATTGAGTAGCATTTGAGTTTTCCGACATTAATTCTTCTTTTTTCATATTATCATACTTAGTCAGACTTAGAATAAGACAGGTATATTTTCAATGCTAATTTTATTTTATACAAATTAAAACGCTGTCCTTAATTTATGCCATCAAGTATTTCAGTGTTATAAATTAACTTTAAACTGAACCGAGCCAAGATGTCAAGTCGAGTCTTTTGTTTGCCTTACAAATTAAATTGACGAGTATTTAATTCATAATAAAGAGAACTTCAATAAATAAACGTCATAAATTTTAATCGGTACATAAAAATTTATTGCGCATACAGATAAATTGCAACTGATGGTACCATTACGTTTTTTATTCATAAGTTGGTTATGGCTATCAGAAATGGCTGGACATTGCGGTTTTGACATCACTTATGCATACAATAGGGATGACTTAAATAATGTGCATTGTCCAAGTAAAAATGGAACGTAAATAAATCTATGGAGATATGATAAAGCTGAACAATTTGTTTAAACGCGCTAATCTCCAGAACTACTAATCCGATTTGAATAATTCTTTTTGCATTTGATAGTCCATTAATCGAGGAAGACTACAGGCTATAAAGCAACACGCTACGATTAATAGGAGCCGAGCACCGGGTGAAATAGGGTAGATGCCTAATTTTTGTTTTAATGTCCGTCTGGTAGATTATTTAACTCGTCGAGTACCGGTTTTGTAGACACAATTATAGAACAATAGGTTGCGGTCACCGGTGACCGCTTGGTGTTTGACAGTTTAAATCATTAGACACGTATTTTTTATTTTCTTACAGAAACGAATACTTTCGACGATATATTGATTAAAATTTTCGCGTGACATCACTTCTTTGTACATTTTATACGTAGAAATGACGTTTTAGCCCCCATTCCTAAACTTTGATTCGTTTTATCTAAGTATTGTTTTATTATATGACAAAATAAAAAAATGCGTGTCTAATATTTTTTCATTACATACCTAACTTACGGACTAATTAGATTTTTATTTTCATACCCTGTCATCATCCCAATTGCGCAGGCGTAGCTAGAATTGATATAGTTTAACTAGATACATTGGCACATTGACAGTAACAAATAAATGTCTATTTTACATTTAATATGCAAATGGAACTTATTGTTATGTTGGTAGCGTTGCACAGACGTGTTAACGAAGGAATGACTGTTAATGACGTCTGCAACTTAGAAAATAATATGCAAATACTAGGTATACCTTTGCATTTGCGTTCGTATTAATTAGTCTCTCGAATCTTGGGAATCTGGTAAATCCAGTACTACTATCCCAAAAGATTCACATTACATTATCAGCTAAGAAATAATATTGTCAACATTCAATTGATATGCGTTAAAAACAAAACGCATACAAATATATGCATTGAGTTTTTGATTATTTTTTAAAGTAATGCGTAATACAGTAGCTGATAATAAAGTGACAATTCAACCTAGATACATACGCTTTTCTTTGTCTTAGCTTGGTCTTGTTAGTATTTTTAGCTATGTATATTTTCATTTTGACAGATTTATATGGAATATATGTGAAGTTAGCGGTTGCCCGCGATTTTGTTCGCGTAGAATATGAATTTTAGAATATAACTTTTTTTGTTTTAATTTACGTAAATAAAAGTAGCATATGTTATTCCTTAGGACATCAGCTAACTGCCAATTAAATTCTTCTAAAATCGGTCCAGCCATTGCAGAGATTAGCCAGTACAAACAGACGGAGAGACAGGTAAAAAGTGTTATTTTGGTATGTGTATCGTCTATCGTACGTACATATATTCATATGCATGTAATAAAAAGGGGTTATTTTAATATTACAAACAGATACTCCAATTTTAATTATCTGTATAGATTATTCGTTAGTAAGTTTAAATAACAGAAACCTAATTAGATATTATGAAACATCCAATGATAAAGACCAGTTTAAGATACACAGATAACCAATCTTTGGGAGTAATGATACACCACTGGAGACACAAATAAGAAGGTAGGCAGACTACGTAGTATTTTTTTTAATGGCATAAGCCGGTAAACTATCAGACGGATCACCTGTTGGTAAGCCATCAGCGTCACCCATGGATTTTGGGGATTGAGAGTTTGAGGATGGTTGGGGATTCGAGGGAGGGTTATTGAGACTCCGAGTGGGGGGGTATTATGACCTGGGTTAATAAGTCTGTAATAAAACAAACAAAATAGTTTCATCTCATATAATTTTAAAGTACATCATAATACTGCATACACAGTTCAGGACACAGGTACAAAATTATATTCACCAATTACGTTGGTCTAATATAACAACTTCATAAAATTTTATAACATAAAAATTGTGAATTAACTACGGTTTTTAGGGTAGCAAGATATATACAATTAGAATATCATCATTATATTCAATTTTATGATTATTTTATTCAATTTCAGTATTAAACGTCGCAAATACCATTCCCAAGGTACTTAAGTTATATAAGCGAAATTAATTCTGTTAACTATATACATTATGTATTTTGCCTTTATTTACTGTTGCCGTAAACAGTCAATATATATAATTCAAACACTGTTTATTTAGATACAATTTCGTACTTGTGAAATAAAAAAAAACATGACAAAAACATTGTGATTTCAGAGTCAAAAAAGGTTAGTACTCGGTCGTGTCATCACTTAGCTAAATACATAGTCATTATGTTCTTAAATAAATGTTGACAAAATGCAGTCCACCTATGGCATTTCGGCCAAATATTATTCCTGTCTGGCTAGAAAACTATTAACTTTTTAATGTACTCTTAAAAGACATAAACTGTATACAAAGAGTATTTTTAAAACTGAATATTAACTGTTTAATTAAAAAATATTGGCTGATAAAAACTCTATGTATTAATTTAAGCACAATAAACCAGTTTGGTATATCTGATACTGAAGAGATGAGTTCAAAGATATCTGGCACACATTATAGTAAACAGTAAACGCAAAAAGTGGAATAACTTAAAAATAGATGTTGTTTCGTACTCGAGTATTCGAGTCTGTGTAAAATGAAGACCATAAACAAATATTTTTTTTTTGATTAATGATTTTGTAAAAACTTTGATTATATTGTATTGTCATCAAAATTAACTGTGTGTACCGAATATCAAATCGATCTGTCGTCAGGAAAGGAGTAAAAATCCAGTTGGGTACCTGCCAACTAGTCAAATTCAATACTTTTTTCGAACTCTCAAAAACGACAGTTTTCTATGAACTCTGTAGGAGATTGTGTATTGTGACGTCACGTTTTTTTTGCGTCAACCAGCATATTTCTTAAAAAAATACATAACCTTCTTTCTTAAAAAATTGCTGAATTAAAATTCTAAAATTAAGTTGATCAAAAAATCAATTAATGAAAATGTGATTGTGTATTGAACAGCAGGAATAATTTATTTTTTATTAAGGAAATTACCCAGTTACTAAATTACATACACTGGGGCAAGTTAAATAAAACCGTTGAAATAAAAAGGCCCCCTATGTTCGCAGGCTATATTTATGCAATTACATGATCCATTAACTTCAGTGTTCACGTTTAGCGGTTGTTTAGCGAAGCAGCTGATTGATATCATCGGCTGTTTGGTTCGGTTCGCACCATAATTAAATGGCGGATCGAATCAATTGATAAATGTCCATCATGATAATCGTTATGGCTGATTGCGAAACATGTTCGCAACTATAAATTGAAACGTAATTTTCTATCTACAGTCCCAAACTTTTTTGACTGATCATTGACACTACGTAATTAGTGTCAATGTGTTTGTAAATTTTGGTTAAAATCTATAAAAATAAAGTACTCCTTTCGTAAAAATAATCAATAACAATTTTGCTCTTGTTACCTTGAATATTACTTAACAATTCGTACACAAGTCGCAAAATGTTCCCAATTTAAATTAAAACAATAGGAGGATAACTTTGAAATTACAAATATGTTTTGCGTTACATTTCAGAGGTGACTTGGTACGAATTACATAAATACATAAGGAATGTTCGTAACCTAAAAACAATAGAAATATAACAACAGTTACGATAACTACATCCGCATGAATCACGCAGCCGAAGAGAAAGACAATGATAATTATTATTAATTGTGTATTCAATATATAAATGTAAACTACGTGATTTCTCATTAGACGAACATTATTACTCATACATGACAGAACCAGAACATCTACAAGTCTAAAACTAGAGCTAAGTAGTCTAAATACAAATTAGAATAAATAAGAGAATTCTTTCTACAATTGAATAACACGCTAGAAAAATATACATACAATAAAGGAGTTCTAATTAAAAACTTAAACAGTAATTAAGTCTTATAATGCCGTATTTAAAAAAAAACCGACAGGTGGGAGCCACGGCTTGCGTGGCTAGTGTTCCGTATTGTAACTTTCAGCCCTCTTGTATGATACAGATATAAAATATATCCATTGTACAAAGGCGAAAAGGTCAAATACTTTCCCATCCATATAGTTTTTAATACCAATACTCGCCTACATAAGTATCTACAATTCGATTTTCCTCAACTATTTGTGAATATCTCATTAGCTTCATATACAGAAGCGCCCTTTTTCCTAGATCACATTGTTCACGCCATGAAAATGTGATTAATGGCTGACTAAGGACTAACACCGAAGCTATGTGTTTATCACTTCTCGGTACATAACATCAATTAGGAAGGATCTAATCTATTTATCTATGTTAGTGATAGGCACGAACTTCAACCATATTCCTCCTTTGTTCTTCAGCATGACACTTCTTGGATCGTACTCGATGGTCGGAGTAGTTTTCTCGCAGGGTTCCACCGAGAAAGTGGATAAGATCACCGATAGTCCAGCCGCTACAGTCAGCTGGGCGAATCTTGCACCTACAAAATAAACAATAGTCAATTCTGTTGTTTTAATATATTACAACAACTATAGAAACACATGAATAAAAATTATGTTTCCTTTAGTCAAGTTTCCAAGTAAAAACACAATATCAAGCTGTTAGGACATACAACCGAGTGTACCAAAACAACTTATCATCCGATTTAATTAGCTGCTTATGCAAATAACTGATACGGATAATACATTTCTAAATTTCATTTTTTAATCTTTATGTACTTCATATCTTATAATTTCGTTATCTTTAGTTACTATGTATTCGTAAGAATCCGAAGTACAGGTAATGTAAATTGACATATCTCTGTATGAGTTGTTTAAATGTGTTATAACAGAGAATTTTGTCTGTATTTACTGTTTGCGTGGACACAAGCTCGAGTTTTGTAAACACAGAGATACTAACGAAACAATGAAATGATTTTTAAATATTAGTCCTCGTAACACAATGGGAACAAAAGAATGTTTAGACAAAATGTAATATTCCCGCGACTTAGCCATAATATTAAACGTCACTCTGTTGTAATATTATTAAATAATAATTACTGCATTTATTATTAGGTACTATAACAAAAAAATATTAATAAGACATTGCACTTACCCGGACAACTCCTTGGTCCTTCGCCGTAAGCCATAAAGCCCGGTGGATTTAAATCATCTTTAAATCGGTCCGGATCAAACTTATCTGGGTTTGGAAAATATAGTGGGTCTCGCTGAATGCAATGGATCGGTATTAGTACAGGGTCTCTGACTTTTAAAGAAAGGTCTTCGTCGAGTTTGTATGGAGAAGTGCAAAGCCTCGTAGTCATAGGTGTGGGCGGGTGCAACCGCAACGTCTCCGCCACTACTTGATACACCGAGCGCATTGCAACCACAGCATCATAATTAAGACCCCCATGCCTTTCTTGACACTCTATGATCTCTTTTCTTACACTATCTTGAATATCTTTGTCCTTTGCTAATTCATACAAAGAGAATGACAAAGTAGTTGCTGATGTCTCCAGCCCCGCTAACATAAATATGAATGAATTGGAGGTGATTAAAGCATCTGTCATTAAGAAGCCGGAGTCAGTTTTCTGCTCATTTAACATAAGTTGGAGGAAATCATGTCTTTGAACACCTGATCGCCTCTCAGCCAAAACTTGATTGATTATAGAAGTAAAAAATGTCTCCACATCAGAGGAATAAGATCTTAAATTCAATAATTTAAACAGTCTGGGAAAGAATGTTCGACAATACCGTTTCAATAAAGTAGAGCGATCAATCTTAAACATTTTTTGTGACATCTGCAGAAATGGTGATTCGGAATCTTTTAGCGCTCCCGGGTCCACTCCAAATGCGCAACTCCCGATAACATCAGTAGTAAACCTGGTCATCATACTAGGCACATTTATATTCTCCTCACATTCTTTCAGCAGAATAACTTTCAGTGTTTGTGCACATTCGGCTACTAAGGGGAACATGGCTTTCATCTTAGCTGATGAGAAGGTGGGAGTAACTATGTGGCGCATGGCCTTCCACTCCGCGCCTCCCATATTCGCCAGGTTACGCAGGAGAGGCTCACGCTGTGTATCAGTAGACACGGACACGCGGTCACTGAAGCACTGGAACTCTTTGGAGAATATAGTTTTTGCAATGTCCAGGTCAATCACCATTAGGGTTGGTCTCCGAGCTTGAAAAAGTCCAACATATTTCTGGTCTCTATAATTATCATAGAAGAACTGCAACATTTTCGTGTAACTTCTTCGCATCGTAAACGTTGCTCCAAAGTTTCCGAATAACGGGCAAGGTTCCCTGTAGGCAACATTTTTATAATACCAATACTTTCTTCCTTTGGAAGTGTAATGAAAAACAGCCAATAACAGGACGAGAAACAGCAAAATCACCAACAATATTCCAAAGAACCACATTTTGAATCACGTTCACTTTACTGCTTAGATTTGAATAAAAAGTGTTTGTTCACGTTGTATATTTAAATAGCCGGCATTTCGCTCGTATGTAAACAATACAATCCGCGATATGTACGACGATGCCGGCAGCGCCTGCGGTGGCGGCGGCGGTCAGTGATCAAGTGAAGCATATCGGCAAGGCGCGCTAAGATAAGCCCTACGCGAGTGTACCGAGTAGCTCGCGCGACGCCATGCCTCCAAGGCCATGTGTGTTGATGTACTGCGCCCGTGACTCGAATGTAACCGTATATCGATTGCTTACGTTAACCATTGTATTCTAAAATGTGAATTACAACTACAATCCCCTTTAATGCATTTGCGAATCGTCTTAATGGACGGACACGCGTTGAATCGCAGGGAATAAACGAATGTTTGTTTACATTTCCGGCGTTTGTACGGCTCAATAAACAGTTTAACCTCTATCTTTAACTCCGCGCCGGCCGGTCTTCATAAATAGATCCACTTACTAAAATAATACTCAGTCAGAAAGCCCTACGTATTATTTACTATATATACGTAGAAACAAAGGGCAAAAGTAAACCTTATTAACGGTATGTATAAATATTCATAGTTTAATTTATATTTATAAGTTGAAAGGGTCAGGGAAAGTTATTAACGAGTTTCATATATCCAAGTCAACTTTTTAATTAAAGTAAACATGGTAACATTGTTCAGAAATGTAAGCAATAGTATAATGAACCATATTATATTATATTTTATGACTCAAAGTACCTTCCATGTTCTATTTTCGTGTCAGTCGCCCTCGGTGGCCAAGTAGAACAACTACATTAGGAGTTATTTGATGGGGGAAGCCATTGAACGAGTTTACAAATGAACGACAGGCCATAACTCTTACTTTTTATTTTTTTGTTGTCTATGAACATTGCTCTACCAAACAAGTATATATATTATATTAGTTGTTAAAAAATAACAATGTAGCGATGATTTACAACTCACTATTAATATTTTGAAAGTGGTGAGAGTATCAAATCACTTGAAATCAATATCCGTTACAAAGTTTCTTCATTAATTTAAATATTCTGTGAAAGTAACTCAATACTATATTTTGCATTAACTACTCATGTTACTCAGTTACGTACTTATAAACTGCAGAATACTGCAATGAATTGAAATAGGTACAAAGTGATTTTATATATTTTGACTGCACGGTTGGTGCGGTGGCTAGGCAACTGGCTGCCGTGCAACGTGTCGCGGGTTCAATTCCCGCACGGAACAACACTTAGTGTGATCCACAAATTGTTGTTTCGGGTCTGGGTATTATGTGTATATGAAATTGTATGTTTGTAAATACACCCACGACACAGGAGAAAATCCTAATGTGGGGCAACGATTTTTTTTTAAAGAGAAAAAGAAAAAAATGTAAAATTCACCATCATCAACTGCCTGTAACTATCTTAATCCTGGGCAAAGACCTCTTCTACATAGAGAAGAAATTAGCATTCATCAAGACGGATTAGCAATTTTAAACATGTTTGTATTAAAACATTCGTGAAATATATTAAATTAATTATTATGTTTTCGGCTTACTCACTTAACTGTTTGACGAGGAATTTTAAACTTACAATTATTTTAAACTAGAAAGGTTAACAAACAAACACGCTTAACAAGCACGACTCAGGCGCGACTCCGGCACGGGTCCGGCCCTTGTTTTTGGCTTAGGAAATTCTTTAAATTTGAGAAACCTTTTTTATATTGACGTTATGAAATATGACATATGACATAAGATGTAATGCTCATCACTACATAGTATAAAACAAATTCGCTTTTCGCAGACTGTCTGTCCCTATGTATTAGATCTTTAAAACTACGCAACGGATTTTGATGCGGTTTTTTTTAATAGATAGAGTGATTCTTAAGGAAGGTTTGCATGTATAATACATGCATATTGCACCCGTGCGAAGCCGGGCGGGTCGCTAGTATTTAAACAAACAGTTAATTGCTGGATTGGAGCCGTGCCGGTTAAGTGCCCTTTAGTCTACTTTTCCTAACTATGTTTTCCTTCACACAAAATTTCTATAATACCAAACATGTGTCATCAACATTAGAATTTGATTACGTGATTATGACTGCCATTAAAGTTGGCTACATAATGACTTGATTAAATAATGTGAATCATTCGCACGAAATTCTATAATAGTTGAGGAAAACGGACGTATTTCCCAGGGAGCAGTTGATTGCTTGTCCATGTCCTAGAAAAGTATTGGAGTAACTCGAATATATAATAGATACAAACATATTAGATTACTACTAAAGGAGCGCGTATTACATGATACATACAAATTAACTAAAATCGCGGATTACTCACGTGAATATATTGAGAAAAGCTCTACTAGTTTCAAACCACATAGGGGTTCTTACACACTTTTTGACTTACTTTTGTGATCGTTACCAGTTCAGCACGCTGAGGGTGTTGACTGAACCAGGCAATAAATAAAATAATAAATGAAACATCCACTAATTGCAAGTCCCAGATAAAAGGGGTGAACCTATTACTATCCACAGGGGACAAATTCTACCTCTCTAGTTCCAACAAAGACTAAAAATTTTATAATACTTTGTCAGACCATGTAGAATTTGTAAAGTTGACCAAAGAACCTTAACTGAACAGTCGCATGTGTGATCACTAGACCAACTTAGGAGGCAGTATTATCTTAACTAAGTAAGAGTTATTTCCACAATAAAACCCGCGGGTGGTCCCATTCGTATTCGCGACTGTTATACGCAATTTATAGACCGCTGTAGCACGTGCCCAACGACTATAAGCTTGTTTAGCGCGCCTTGTACGGTGCTAATAAATAACTTGATTTATACTTGGTATTCAAAGTTATATTACAATGCCTTTTGATAAAATCTGTGATATATATCCGGACAAATTTCGTTATATGTTTAACAATGCTATGGGTATAGTTAAATTTTATGTATGAGTGACATAAGAAGGTGTGAAAATCCCCAATTATCTGTTTCCAATAAACAATCTAAGTGTGTAATTTAATCGTAAAAGTCGACTTATATTTTATTCTAAGACAACAACAAAAGTTAATGGTAATAACAGAAGTAATTTCGACTGCACGGTTGGTGCAGCGGGCCGCGGGTTCGGTTCCCGCACGGAACAACACTTTGTTTGATCCACAAATTGTTGTTTCGGGTCTAGATGTCGTCTGGGTGTCATAAAAAAATACACGACTACATGAAAAGAGTATTATAATAAAAATACAATAATTTAGCCGCAATAAATCTAAAACTGTACTTTGGAAGTATAAAAGCAAAACCACAGCAAGGTAAAAACAAATAGCAAAAGTTATAATAAGATGCGGCGTATACTATTTCATGTTCAACATGTGTGGTCTGTTTATCGCACATGACACTATTTCGCCAATATAAATACCCACTGATAATATTAACCAATGTTCTATTAATAAGTGTCTTTGTTAAAAAGTTTTTAAGATCATAATATTTTGTCTTTTATACACTTGGGAACACAAAAACGGAGCCACTAGAGATTTTTTTTGGTCCTAAGCGTACAAAGTAACACTCACTTTTCGTTACTTATATTTATAGGTCTCATATAATAAGGGTTCGACGGTTGCAAATTCCGTGCTATTAATGAGAATCTTCTAAAACCAATAATATTTCACCCGAACATTGTATTAAACCCGAGACCCGAAGTCTCTGGCAGTACTGAGGGCTTAGTACAAGTTTGGGAGACCGCGATCGGCGCTCTGATTGGTTGGTTCATTGGAACCGGCCAATCAGAGCCAAACTCATACTCGTTTCGATTACTTTAAACGTAAAACACACTCGTACTCAGGCCTCTGCTTGCCAGTCGTACTTGCGGCCACCCAGCCAACGAGACCTATCTAATAAATAAAAACGCACTTCCGTTCGTTAGTTTCACTAAAACCCGAGAACTATATATAAAAATGAATTGCTGTTCGTTAGTCTCACTAAAACTCGAAAACGGCTGAACTGATTTGGCTGATTTCGGTCTTTAAAATGACCGAGGAAGTCCAGGAAGGTAGGCGGTACGAAGTCTGCCGGTGCATCTAGTTATAAATAATTATTTTCAGCTTAACAACTCCATGAGGTAGTTATAAAGAACAATAGTAATAATTCTATGAATAAATTCCTTCTTATCTCATCCTTGAGCTTCGGGTGAAAAAATCCGGATGTCCTAATCATCATTTTACAATAAATCACGGATGTCCGTCCGGTGTCATATGACTTCATATCTACATTCTTGATATAATAAAGATACTAAATATTAATATTAAAGATATTTGTTTTAAGGGAAATCGATGACTAATTCTTTGTATTCGCCTACGTAACTATCTTTATGAGAAATACGTATCAATTCTGTCTCAAGTATCAAAGTAACTAGAATATGAATCGATAAGTCTTTGTTATCGTCCATTAGGTACCTTTCATGGTGTCCACCGGAACTGGGAAAATACGGTATTTAACAACTGGTATAATTGAACACTTTTGCATGAACTTAATTACTTTATAATCCTTTAGCCTAGAAAATTACTAAACTAAAGTATAGGTATTGCAAAAACAATTAACGAAAGTTTGATTATTTTTAGGCTAATTTATATTGTATCGAAAAGTCGAAATAATTAATTTATAATTGAGTAAAATACCCAATTGAGTAGGTCATGATATGTTACGTAATATAAACCGATGTTGCCGGTATGATTGTAAACATGATTATAGGCACGCAAGCTATCGCTACACAGCGGGATTTCCCATGTGAAATATGTTGCGGTTACAATCACACCATTCATGAGGATAGGCTCAGAAAGATTCAATGTGTGAATTTATAATTATGTATGTAAACGTTTAACGAACCCACAACAGAAAAGAAAATCCTAGTGTGGGGTTATGAATTTAAAAAAGTGCAAAACAGACAACAACGACTCCATTACACTAAAATTTAAAAAATATGTTATTTATTCAATCGAAGTAATCCTAAACGCAATAAAGTTAAAAAATGTAGAAAAAATTTTAGCACCGTTTTCGGCAATGGACACATACTCAAATGAGTCCTGTAGCAGGCAATGTATAATTAAATATAGTTTGTATGAATAAAGCCATACAAGGCACGATCGGGTCTTTAGTTTTATTTTGTGCAAAATAAAAGGCCCACTTACATCAGATCGTGGCGATGCTCTCGCTGCAATCGATGCGAGAAGGGCAGCTGCCGCGGCTCGCACAGTGTTCGCTTCACGACGCTGCGCAAATATGTTTGCAGCGAACTGGGATAGAGACGGCTCTTGTATGGCTGTATAAGAAAAGAAAAAAGTCATTTTATCTTCAGCATTTCCTTACTTGGAAGAGGGTTCTTTTTGTTTAACTGCCAACTGAATATAATACAAACAAGGTTTCCAACTTAGGCGCTTGCCAACTATGGGATGCGCTTTATCGGCTCCTCCGATGGTAATAGAGAAAAATAAAAGAATCTAAGGTTCAGAGCCATAAGGTCAAAAATAAAAAAGATATTATTATATCATCAGTTATAATAATTGGCGTTCATAGTCTCGGTGTGAAGTTATGTATGTATATTTATTTTGGAAGCGCAGCGTAGGACGCCCACCTACAAGATGGACAGATAACCTAGTTAAAGTTGTAAGGAGCCGCCGGATGCAGATCGCTTTCAACCGGCCTATCTAGAAGTCGTTCAAAGAGCCCTATGTACAGCAGTTTAGCAGTAGATGTCTTTTGGCTGATATAATGATGATGATGATGAAGATGATAAAGAGAAGACCGTCCAGGTCACACATGTTACCAATATTCCATCATAAGATCTCACCTTGCATCAAATGTGGCATTAGTTGTGCGTAGTGCGCAAGTGCAACGACCACGTGTAGTGCGGCCGCTCGTAGTTGTGGACGTGTGCCACTAACTCCTTTCACAACTGTGCGTACCACATCACTGTTGAAGACCTCACTCCATCTCTGGTGTAGAGAAAAACAGTTAAGGAAATTAAATTATAGGGCTAAGTAATACGACTAGAAGTCTGAGGTTGGGCTTTTTAAAAACTCTCAGTAGTAGCACAGACCGAGACAGTCTAGAATGTGCCCGGTATATGGCAATGGGTTCAATACCTATCACATGGGATGCATAACATAATTAGTGAAAAGTGGGTGTTACATTGTACAGTGGCATTAGGTGCCGTAATGTGCACCTCTGCCTACCCCTCCGGGGATAAAAGGCGTGATATTATGTAAGCATAAGGTCATTAAAAATAATACAATCACACTTTTACAACACTCTTTCCAAACTGAAGTTAACTAGTTAAAGTTACTACTTTTCTATTTGAAGTCAATTCCCTAATATGTAAAACTGCAAACAAATGAGGAGCTAGAATTATTAAATATCTAAATGTAGGTCAAAATAGACCTTATACATTTTACTTAACGCACCTGCTGCCAACTTATCACTTGGCACGACTCCACAACAGCTTAATGATCAAGGACGTTTGCTACTACTATCATAATAATTAATGCACCGATAAATTGATACAATATAAACATATTTTTATGCGTTTCTGTTTATCCGGTATGTATAAATTGTAATATATAGTGACATTACATCATTAGTTTATTGTAAGAAGATAAAAACTTTTAATGGTTATCACGAGGAACTGTTATTCTGTCAATGAATGTAGATTAGTGAACAATTCAAAGCGTACATTGTAAAGTATCTCATAACGGTCTATAGTAAATGTTGAAAATGATCCAAAATGTAAGATAATAAAGTCAATAATGGAAAAAATACCATGTGTTAACGGTCGCACTCCTGAACCTAGACGCGCTTCATTCACCTCCTAATGATAGGTGTACACAATTATAGTTTACTAAAGTGTTGATTACGTTATTTAACAGTTTTGTTACCTAATCTGTACCACATTATCAGACTATTGATTTTTACAGTAATGAAGAAACATACTTAAAGAATGGCACTGGTAAGTTAATTAAATTACAAAGAATAAAGGTAGTGGGGCAGTCGTCATAGTGAAAATATGTGCTAACGTTTTATCGCCTGACTAAACATAATTCGATTAAGTATTTTTATCTACTTAATAGCACTTAACCGCTTTTATCGATGCTATGCGGAAATCGTTAATAATTGTATAATATAAAACCTACCAGAATTTCACTAAATAATAAGAATAAAATATTGATAAGTGTGGAAGAGCCATGCTTCGGCACCAATGAGCCGGCTGTCGTGTCGTGTCGGTTGCGTCTGTCGCGTTTTTAGTGTCTGTCGTGTCGGTCGTATCTGTCGTGTCGGTCGTATCTGTCGCGTCTATAGTGTCTGTCGTGTCGGTCGTATCGGTCGTATCGGTCGTATCGGTCGTATCTGTCGCGTCTGTAGTGTCTGTCGTGTCGGTCGTATCCGTCGTATTAGTTGCGTCTGTCGTATCGGTCGTATCTGTCGTGTCGGTCGTATCTGTCGCGTCTGTAGTGTCTGTCGTGTCGGTCGTATTGGTCGTATCGGTCGTATCTGTCGCGTCTGTAGTGTCTGTCGTGTCGGTCGTATCCGTCGTATTAGTTGCGTCTGTCGTATCGGTCGTATCTGTCGTGTCGGTCGTAACGGTCGTATTGGTCGTATCGGTCGTATTAGTCGCATCGGTCGTATCTGTCGTGTCGGTCGTATCGGTCGTATCGGTCGTATTAGTCGCATCAGTCGTATCTGTCGTGTCGGTCGTATCGGTCGTATCGGTCGCATCTGTCGGGTCTGTCGTGTCGGTCGTATCTGTCGCGTCTGTAGTGTCTGTCGTGTCGGTCATATCAGTCGTATCGGTCGCGTCTGTAGTGTCTGTCGTGTCGGTCGTATCTGTCGTATTAGTTGCGTCTGTCGTGTCGGTCGTGTCGGTCGTATCTGTCGTGTCGGTCATGTCGCTCGTATCTGTCGTGTCTGTCATGTCGACTGATACGATTATCAGTCGTGTCTGTCGTCTCAGTCGTATCGGTTTTAGCTGTCGTGTCGGTCATGTCGGTTGTATCTGTCGTGTCGGTCGTATCAGTCGCGTCTGTCATGTCGGTCGTACCTGTCGTGTCGGTTGTGTCGGTCGTGTCAGTCGTGTTGATCGTATCAGTCGTGTCGGTCGCGTCGGTCGTGTTAGTCGTTTCGATCGTATCAGTCGTCTCGGTCGTATCAGTCGTGTCTGACGCGTCAAATACTTCGGCACAAATAGGCCGGCTGTCGTGTCGTGTCGTGTTGGTGGTGCTAGTCGTGTCGGTCATGTCAGTCGTATTAGTAGTATCTGTCGTGTCCGTCGTGTTTGTCGTGTCTGTTGTGTTTGTCGTATCGTTCATGTTCGTCGTGTCGGTCGTGTTGTTCTTATCAGTCATGTCTCTTGATGACGTTTTCCCGATAAATGTTAGCTTTTTTATATTGACGTTATGAAATATATCACACGACATACGATTTAAAGTTCATGTTTAAATGACCGAATTAAATGTGCCGGAGCCGTGCTTGTTAGGTGTGCGATGATTTTAACAATGTATGCCGCTGATTTGAAGGAGGGCCAATGTGGGCGATAGCACGCAGTTTTGACGGACAGCTGCGTTTCGGATGGTCCATTTATCGAAGATGGTTATAGGGTAAAACATCACGCTAAGATCTGCGTGGAAATAGCTAGTTATTAATAACGGTAAACAATCAAACATTACTACTATACTATACTATACTACTTACCTGCACAGGTATAGCTTCATCATGTATCTGCCTTAACAATGCCAGCAAAGACAGAGTCGCATCCAGTCTGCACGCCTGCCCTTTACATCCACCACCAGAGGCACATCCACTCAGTGTCCTTGCTACTACTTTCAAGCACTGAATCAGAGTATCTTCTGACAGCTTACAGTAGCGAGAATTCACGGCGTATCGTATACAACGCATCAATTCATTTAGGTACCCTTAAAATAAAAAATAAGTAGATAATTACTGAAACTAAATACTAATCCTCAGTAACAATTTTTAGGCAATAGTTTCCCAAAAAATTGGAACGAAGTTATTCACCGTGTCAATGACATTTCTTAGTTACTCATCATATAGTTTATAAGGGACAACTCTTTGGAGTATGTATTCTTTAAACATCTATGACAACTCTTTAGGGTCTTTAGTATACGCTAGAGTAGACCGATCTACAATTAACCACGATCAATTTTAACCGCAAGACAGCGTGTCCCAAAGAAGTCTAAGAACACGCACAAACGATTGATTTGAAAACCGCAATTACATACAAAGAAACAATTGAGAAGCGATGTTTATTCATAGTGCGTACGGACACTGGTTTTGTGCTTAAGGTTCAAAATGGTTTGCTAAGAATGTAAAGCGGCCTAACACTCAGTGTGTTTATATATTATGTGGCGAGAGGAGGACTTACATTAAGGGCCAATTTTTTTCAACGCCAGATAAATTTTAATTGAGGAATATCTTTGAATTTTTGACAAGTATTCCATACTCAAAACTGTCAAATGACAATTTTATAAGTTAAGTTAAGAATTAACTAATGATTGAAAAATCGGCCCTAAGTAAATAATAATGGGAAATGTACCAAATCAAAAATAAATACACGTAAAATTATTAGGTTAACTAATCTGTTTTGTACAATTATGTACTATAATGCCGCCGCTGGATTGCATCAGAATATAGCCATGACGTAAGAACCTGGTATACGATCTATTTGTACTAAGAAATGCTAAATCTATCGAGGAATCTAATCTTAATATACAAATACACATTAATATCAAACTTCCCCAAACAATTTATCAACTTTGTTGGATTTTCAATATTAATACAAGACAATAAAGTTGAAAATTAGTTTATCCCACTAAATCGTAGAAACAAGAAGGAAAAGTACAGATGAAAATAAACTATCCGTCGCTGTTTTAAAGTCGGTCATATTTAAAATATACATTGGAATAAAAAACTAATAAATGTTATTTTGTATCTCAACTTACCAAGCATATGGAAATTTTTCAAATCAATTTTGTCCAAGCAAACAAGAAGAATTTTTAATAAGCTCTCCAACTTATAGCTGTCATAATCTTCCCAGGTTTCCAGCATCATAACACATCGTAGTAGCACCTTCACAATATGTATGTGTAGTTGTGTCACTTCAATGCACTCCTGCGCAGTTTGCTGTGGATACAACTGATCTCTACTCAAAAGGGAGATTATGTGAGCTTCATTGCCAATAAATGACGATTTTATCCAGGACATTGTGCCATCTAGAAAAAGAGAAACTAATTACTAATCAACTTTATCATAATGCCTTATTAGTCATAAAATGTTAAGGCTTTTATACCAGTATTTTAGTAATAGGAGCGGAGTAAATGAGTTGTATGTATAATCTACTGAAATTCGAATATAGAATAATACATTGATCAAGCCCTTAATTCAAAATTACTAAACATGCAGCCAAAGTGATGACCGCTAAACCCTAAACAAATATTTGTCAGTGCTAGTGGCATCAATGGATTTCATATTATAAACACCCTAATTAGTCATCTGATAAAATACAAAGGTATTTTCTTTTAGGATAAATTCTTATCACACGTATTTCATATCTACGCATCACGTAATGTGGCACTCATCAGGTATTAGACGATTCAAGATTAGCACTAGTGTCAACCCATAAACTGTCTGGTTCGTTGTTCTACCTCTACGATTCCCGGGTAGTGTAGCTCTGGTCGGGCAAAATATTATTGATACTTTCGGTTTATAAAAATTTTCAATGTAATAGCAGAACTGAGTTTAGGATTGTATCCGATGTCTGATAATACATAAGTTGCTTCTATAATTTTACATAGAACTCATAACATACTGGACAAATGGACAATACAACTAACATTTTGCACTTCAATTGACTTCTTCACGATGCACAAACAAAAGGCGAGTGCTATGTCAAGTTACAAAAACTTACCAGACTTCGGTACGTTATCCGTGTATGCTATAACGAAGTGCAAAAGAGAGCAAAGCAGTGATGTGTCGCGGGATGAAGCGGGAGGTGCGTCCAGGAACCGCCGCATATGTTGCCATGGTAACGAGCTATACTCCTTCTTGTTGACGCTCGACTGTGCAACTAAATAAACGTAGCTAGAAAAAACATTACTGAGTGAAAATACTGGCAACCAAACATAAAAGTAATAAGGTAGTAAAAGAAACTTTCGTGATCCTACCTCCAGCCTTTTATTATAACAAAACAACTTCGTTATAAGTGTTTACCACATTCTTACCTATCTATGTATCTCTTTTACTTTCTTTTATGGGATAAGCCGGCAACCGAGCCGACTTCTTCGTTCTTACGTCAACTATTCTATTTAAATATTGTTCTACAAAATCTACGAATTCCTATAGAATTCAAAAGCAATATTTATAACAAAAGCCACATACCTCTCCAACAAATGCAGTGCTTCTGTGACCTGTCTATGTGTAGTAGCATTTTGTAGAGCTAGCAATGCTCTAGTGCTACTGAAGATAGGACAGGATGCTCTCAAGGTGGCTAGGTCACGCGACGTAGGACGTAAGGCTAGTGGGGCAGTGGGCGGTGGCTCTGTCAGAAGACGAGCTCGACCTGAGTTGGTGCACCACCATCGCACCCGTACTGCTGTCCGCCATTCTTCATCAGCTAGTAGCCACTCTGTGTTGGGAATAAAAGTTCAGGTGACATTATAATTTCGTACAAAAAATATTCTGGATAAGCTCAGTAATAAGTGAAGTCGATGCAAGAAGGTTTATAAGATAAGTATAAAAATAAATGGTTTAGCCGATTTTTTTGTAAAACTTAGCCCTAAGTTTGCTTATGACCAATCATGCTCACTTACCCATAATTTCGTTCATTACGGACAAAAATAAGTAAGGAATTTGATTCGACATAGTAACTCAACAGATGATTGTTGAAGTATGTAGTACTATGAAGTAACAGAACAGAATTCATAACATAATCGATCTTAAAATAAAATATGATAATGCAGACCCCACGTGCATTTTAGTCTTTAAACCGCACATTGTCGTCATTGGCGATAATAAAAACAGATAACACTGTAGGAAAAATTGATATTATAATTATGATTACAAATTATAATGCAATATTATGACTGGTGTAGCTCACACGTAAAGATATCTTTTATGCACAATCATAATGACACGCCCCACACTTTCCTTGTTACGTACGAATTATAATCATCCCGTAGTTATTAGGAACATCTGTTATTATCGTGTTAAAACAATACAAAGAAACCCTAACCTAGTCTAATAATATAATCCTACTACAACAATTTTGTTTATCGACACAAGATGTGGTACTCAGCAATAGCAATAGAGCCGAAACAAATAAATTATCATGTAATTTAAATTCAACGCAATAATTTGTCTGTAGAGGACGTCAGTTTGTATGTACATACGTCACAATATCCTAATTAGAAATCCGACAAGAACTTATGTAGTTACACCAGCAAACTATGTATAGAAAATGGAATCCTATCAGTCCTTGAGATTCTTTAAGCGGGCTTCGAACTTGAGCCACGTGAAACGCATAATGATTTAGAACAATGTTCTCGAAATGTATTAAAATATTCCACAAAAGTTTCAAGTGTCGAGGTGATCGAATATTGATATCAATCAAGTTGTCAAAATAAATAAAATTTCATGAGAGAAAGTGTACATCGATTACAATATTTGTTTGTTCAAATATGTAGAACCGGATCATGAATACTGTTTTCACCGATTTGCAACAACAGATTGAGAAAAATCAGGAGCTTTGTCGATAAACATACCTATTACTTACTGTCGCTATGCTCGTGAATTTCTTCTGAATTTCGAACCAAGTTAGGCACCGACACTTTACGAGGACGATAGAATAAATTACAGCCTGTATGACCTACTCCATGATAAAATAACTTCGAAGGAAGAGATGTTTTTTTTTTTTAAGGGGAGAAAATCATCGCATGACATCGAAGGAAGAGAGGTAGGGTTACTTTCTTTGCAAGTTTCCATCATTAAGAATACAATGGCGAAAAATACACAATTCCACAACTTATCTAACAGCCAGACAGTGAAAGATATGAACATGAAAGGGCCCTACTGCATTCAAAACTAGACTTTACGCTACTATTAACAATTTACACCAACAATTACATACTTACCAACACTAGAATGTTCTGCATTAGGGCTGGTATTCCAATAACTGTTAGCTTCAAATGGTAGCGAGGTCTTTTGAGTTACATTAAGTGGTAATGCTGGTATGCGGTGTCTGGATGCATCCAACTCCTGCAGAGTAAAGCCTGCCCACGCTATAATCGCCAGGACTTGGGCAGCCATGAGCACTGATGAATCATTTGCAGGGAACACTAGGATCGCTGAAATATAAAATTAGCTTTAAATTATGATTAGCTAATGTCAAAATACTCAAACGCCACTTTATTTTAAGTCGCGCTAAGTATAGTTCTGTCACAACAAATTATTTTTAAAATGACAGCGATTTCCTTTTCAAGGTGGGAAAGTCATCCAATGACTTCTCCCGCCCGGGTGAGGCGGGAGGGAGTGTCAACCTCTTACTGACTAAAAACCACCCCGTTCCTACTCCTGCTCTTCGAGCCGGAGCCCGGCAACCCCTTAAGTCCTAGATGGCACGAAATTTAAGTACGACTTAAAATTGAGTAGACCGCCTCGTTGGCCTAGTAGTCGCAAGTGCGACTGCCGGGCAAGGGGTCTCGGGGGGGTAGGAGTCGGGTAAAGTATTACTGGGTTTTAAAAAAATTCTCAGTAGTAACACGGAGTCTGGAATTGTGCCCGGTATTTAGCAATAGGCTCAACCCCTATTCCATGAGACTCATAACATTAATAGTGAAAAGTAGGTGTTACATTATATACAGTGGCATAATGTGCACGTCTGCCTACCCCTTCGGGGATAAAAGGCGTGATGTTATGATGATTAAAATTGAGGAGCCTTTTAGTATTCGAGCGTCAATCTAAAATCTAATAGATGACGAAGGTCGCCGAGGTGATGGATGTAGGTACTATACTCGGAATTTTAATTCGATTCCAGATTTGACAATTTCAGTGTTGCAACGTTATGACAAGTACTAAATAGTGACGTTGCAAAATTATTCGATAAGGAAATGCAATATTACTGGATCGATTCTTCTCGTTTATCATTTTACTTCCGTAAACTAAGTATATCGGGAAATTAAATATTTCTGAACCGATCATTTAGTTTTGACGATTAATTAACGATCTGAGACTTTTCTTTTATAATTGTGTGAAATAAATAAAAAAATGTAATCATGGAGGAACATGGCAAATAAAACAGATAGATGTATTATGGTAATAAGTTATTTTATAATTTGTCGCCGTCATCGCTATCGCTATCCTGTCACATTCTGTAACATTTATTGTAAAACACACACACTGATTGTTTATCGATTTTTGTGTTCATCACTACACTTTTATATGTGGTATCATTATTTCACAAAATGACAGTAGCTATTGTCAAATCTGGAATCTAATTAAAATTCTGACTATAGGTAGCTTCGCTTTCCAAATATGATTTAAAACAATATTTTTAAAGAATTACCGTCTCACTGAATGTATTGTTTACTTTATTATTTATCATATGCAATTCTAAAACTGCACTAATCAAACGTATTTTCCACTTGTATAAGATGGGTAAACCCGAAAATAAATATTTGATTGTGTTATTTGAATCTACTCGTCGCATGTGTAAAATGTAAAAATCATGTAATTTTAAGATTTTTACCTTCCTCATATTCTGAGTACGTATACTAAAAATTGTTAAAAAGTCACATTTGTTTAATGCGACATTTGCAATGTGCTATAGCAAATGCTACACAGAACAGGCAGTAGCACTCTTGTATAAACCTGAACTTTTTAAACTGCTACTAGAACTCATTTGCTAAGCGGGAATATTATGGCAAACCAGGGTCTTATGTCGAGGAGACTTATGGACGGTGATGTGTCATGTAATTTTTTTTTTATAGCATAAGCCGGTAAACGAGCAGACGGATCACCTGATGGTAAGCAATCGGCGTCGCCCATGGACACCTGGAACACCAGAGACGTTACAAGTGCGTCACCGGCTTTTTGGGGATTAGGAGTTTTAGGATCTTTGGGAATTCAGGGATTGGGGAGATTGGGGAAGAGGAACGTAATTGGGCCACCGGTAACCTCACTCACACGTCGAAACACAACGCAAGCGTTGCTTCACGTTGGTTTTCTATGAGGCCGTGGTATCACTCCGGTCGAGCCGGCCCATTCGTGCCGAAGCATGGCTCTCCCACACTTAAATGTAATATCGTTATTCAAAGTTACCTCTGAGCAAAAGTGCAGGTAAATCCGGTATCTTAGCCAAGTTGTGTCTACTAGCAAAACATACGCTGTTAAGTATAGACACGCAACTGATTGCACACTCCGGAAATGCTAGATAATCGTCCACCATCAGTGACATTCTGAAATATAAAGATTAAGATAAAATTTGGGTACAATATTTTGAGAATATCATTATCTCGATATGCGTCAGTACTGAAGTTAAGCTCGTATGATCATACGATTGATAAAACAATTCAAAGAAGAATTGCAGATACATTGTGGATCATAATATTTTTAGATAAGGATGCTGTGGAAGTGGATAGTGCAGTGAAAACTTTGTCAAATATTTTTAGCCAATAGAATGTCAAACTATATCGTTGGTCAAAGGTTAGGTATACCATTTGATTTTCGAGTCGAGTATACTTTTATCATGAGCTTTTTTAATTTTAACTCGTCGAGTACCGGTTTTGCAGACACAATTATAGAACAATAGGTTGCGGTCACCGGTGACGGCTTGGTATTTGACAGTTTAATATAACATAACTTCGCCCCTTTTACATAGAAGTTCAATTACATTTAACGGGCCGTTCAAATATTACGTAAGCAGATTTTTTACAATTGTTTTATCCCCGTCCCCCTTGTCAACAAAAGTAAGCAAAGATCTTACCCCCTCCCCCTTTGCTTACGTAAACATTTTAAATTATATCTTTTTTATATTGCAATTTTAATATTCTCTTAGATACCATAATGTCTAGATCTTTGTCGGTCTTTGCTTGTAATTTATAATTTAAATATTAGGGTTGCCATTCGTGGTAAAAAGTAATTAACTACCGATGACGTAATCATCATCTAGACTCCCCTACCCCACGTATCATCCAAAATAAGCGAGACAGGGACCTCCCCACCCCCCATGGTGCTTACGTAATACTTGAACGGCCCCTAGTGATGAAAACTTGAAAGATAATTTTAACATTAAATATGATCACTTCTTCCTAACGTTACGGCACGGCAGCGTGATATTACATAACCATAGGTAACATACAGTCACAATGTTCAAAACAGTACAGACATAATATGTAATAGACTGTACGGTCAGCGCCGTGGTTGAATTTCCGCACGGAGCAACTCATTGTGCGATCCACAAATTGTTGTTTCGGGTCTGGTATGTAAACGCACCCACGACACAGGAGAAAATCCTAGTTTGGGGAAATATTAAAAAAAATATAAACACCATAACTGTTTCGCCACCCTAAGTTTGCGCGGTGTTAGGTATTCTGCGGCCGGATACCTAACACCGCGCAGCACACGGCACAATAGTCGTGACAATTAGTGTTTAAATTTATTACTGACATATGTATTAATACATTAATACTATAATATCTACTACAATTTTAACTTAAATAACTATAGTATCACTTACCTCAACGTAGCAACAATAATATTAACACCGTCATATTGCAAGAACACATCATGTAAATTCTGCTGTCGCACTATAACAGCGAGTTGCTGCAACGTGCTACGTCGCAACGAGGGCTCGAGGGCAGGTTGCATCGTGTTACGAGATATGTAGTGTCCTTCGTCATCGAGTACTATATCTTGTTTTAACACGTCCAGGATTTGGGTCAACCCTGTGGTCTAAAAAAGAGAATAATATAATTATGTATTTAAAAAATAAGCAATCTTCTAGACGTACACAATATAATTTACTAGCTTCTGTAAATAGATTATAAAAAGGAGACTATGAGTTGTTATGTTATAGAACATAAGCTATGCCTGCTTAAAAATTACATTTAAACTTTCGCGTATATACAGAGCGGATATGAATGGGGCCGTCAGTAGATGGCGAGGGAGTATACTGACCAGTTTGGCGAGATATTAAAGAAGGGCCATATTAAAAGTACCCTTAACCAACGAGCATGCATGAAAAGATTGATGACTGTTGATGAAGCGAAAGAGGTATGTAGGAATCGTAGTATTCAAGTGGCATTCCATAGTCTCTGCCTACCCTCATGGGAGACAGGCGTGAAGTTGTGTATGTATGTATGTAAAAACTTTCGCATTTATAGCATTAGTAAGATTTCATTAGAAATATTGATTCATTTTCTGCCTACATATAAAGTGTTCGTAGAATAGGTTATACACAAGTTTGAAGAAATAAATGTTATAACTCGCGTACGTTGTTCTGTCGGTGATTTCCCGACTAGATAGTTGGTAACGGGGGCTCGAAGTGACATTAGACGGGCTCTTCCCGAAACTACAAAATAAATGAGTATACCATAAACATTACTCAGTGTATTAATTATTGTTTTCGGCTTACTCACGTAACTGCTACAGTAGCAGCGCGACAGTATGAATATGAGCCTCTAGCATGGCTTGAAACTAGTCGAATTCCTCGTCAAACAGTTACGTGAGTAACTGACCAAGTTATAATATACTCAGTGTATTTTCAGAACAGTTATTTAATCAAATATTTAACATACCTGTGGCACTTTAGTCGGTGAACTTTCATAGTCTATATTAAACTCTTGCCGTTTAACTCTCCGTAATGCGCTCAATAAAACATCAGCTCGCAACGACTCCTTAGGAGGCAAATAGCGCTCGTCATCTAAAAACATCAACGATACTCAGTTAAATATCACCTTTGTTATATACACATAGGACACATTCTCGCAAATCTATACATTATTGTTTCCTTCAATTGAATGTGATCTTTAATACATTCTTATGGGGTGTATTTTCGCAAATATCATATACTTGCCTAATAGTCGGCATAGAGTGTGAGCTGCATCAAGTTGTACTGCAACGCATCGTACAAACATAAGACGAACCAAGCCGGCCATCACCTCGGAGGCTGACACGCCCAAACAATCTGCTATGTCGCGTTCTAGCGATTTACAGATTGCTTTCCCTATAAAATAGAAAAGTTTTAAGACATTAATATTCCAAAATATTGGTTTCAGGATTCTAAAGTAAACCTGGCGGGGTTATAGTCACCGTATACCGTGGACCCAGCATGAAGCAGTAGTTGGAACGGGGTTTTAGTCAGTAAGACTCAGTTCTCGCGTCACTCAGGATGGGAAGAATTATATGATTTTCCATCCTTACAAAAAAGGATACTAAACAAAAGAGGTATATCACATTATGTATAAAAAGAACAGTATTTTACCTAATTGCGTTTCATGAGCAGCATAAACATGTAACAGCGGTAGTACTGGCAGTAAACTGGCCAGCAGTCGCCACCAACATCCTTCACTGAGGACCAACCGTCCACGTAATAAATACAACATTATTTCTGAAGAACTTCCTTCTACCTGTAAATATTATAAAAGTTTAATTGCGCTGACTGACTGACTTGATTGACTGCCTCGTTGGCTGAGTGGTCGCAAGTGCAACTTCCGGAAATGGGGTCTCGGGTTCGATTCCCTGGCCGGGCAAAGTATTACTGGGTTTTTAAAAAAAACTCAGTAGTAGCATGGAGTCTGGAATCGTGCCCGGTATATGGCAATAGGCGTCCTCTATTACATGGGAGTGAAAAGTGGGTATTACATTGTACAATGGCATTAAGTGCCGTAATGTACACCTCTGCCTACCCCTACGGGGATAAAAGGCGCGATGTTATGTTTAATTACGCAAAATTATATAAGCGACAAAATAATTGCGCAGAGTATAAAGTATTTTGCGAAATGCAAGTTTTTAAAGTTATTCTACTCACCTCTTTACATTTAGAAGAGAGTCCATGACAGCATATCTCTGTCAGTATACCAACATCACACAGTAAAGTCAGACTCTTCTCATTCTCATCTCCCACCAACACAGACTTCACCATCTCAGCTAAAGACTTGTAAAATGTAATTTGCACCCAATCCACATTGTGACCCATCAAAGACAAGGCAATACTTCGAGCGACAGACCAGTCACTATCATTAAAGTCCAAATCTTTCGCCTTTTTCACCAAAATATCCGACATATCAACTAAAAGATGTTCACTTTGAAAGAGCTCTAAAATAGGGATACAGCTCTTTATGCACGTGAGCACTTTCTTTGATTTATGCAATTTCTTATTGTTCATAAACTGAGCAGCCCCATCCATGCTTGAGAATAATTTCTTCAGTTCCTTATATTTGCTTTTATATTCTTGGTTAACAGTTATTCTAGTACTCTGTAAATAAAATACTCCGTGAAAGTACAAAAATAAAACAAATAATTCTGGCGCAAATAATAGTTGCTTTTGCGCAAGCATTTGTAAATTTTTGCGCATTTAATTTGCCCTGCAGTAAGACAATCTCGGCTGAAAATTAAATAAAATAAATGAATTTCACAATACTTTATAACTATACATACCTGTAAAACCAATTCAATCTTCTTACTCAACGTTGGGTAAAACAGTTCTACGCCTGGATCGAGCTGCGCTATTTGTAATGCATTAACAAGCGAAGTCGGTGGCAGGGCGGAGTCTCGAGCCCAGTGCAAGAGTTTTTCAGCGCAAAACGTCAGACGTAACCACGCCACGCGATGATGACTACGATCGAGATCATCGAAGAATGATTTTCTGAAATAAAATAAAAAATATTAGGGCACTCCAATACAGTTACAGATTAATAAAAGGATTCAGTTAGTAGTCGAAGTAAAGTCAATATTTTATATTAGGACACGCTTTTTGCATTATACAAAATTGAATTACCTATATTTGTTCAATAGGTCTCCCATCAGGCGCATCACCATGCAACTTTTATGTGAAATGTCCCTGTAAGTCTTGGCATTATGGTCCATACTCCAGAAGCTGTCGTTAATACAGTCGAGTAACAACTCGACCAGACTTTCTATTAGGCAAAGGCATGTGTTCAATTCTCTCTGAAATAAAATAAAGTATTATTAGTTTGTTCAGGTATTAATTGGGTCAAGGATAACTCAAAGTTGTTGCAAGTAAAAATCATAAGCCACACGATGATTTTAACAATAAGTTCCAATAATCGTTAATGTTCCAATCTTGTATTTGTGGATCACTTTAGAACAAATGTTTTTTATTATGTTTAAGTTCATTTTTCAAAAATGGATACCAAGTTTGTGTAGAACATAAACAGAATTTTCTACCACATCATAAAGGTTTCACAACATACTTATTATTAGCAGATACCATAATAATATCATAAAATACTCATAAGTATATTACTTATGTCCACTAACGCATTAGCAGTTTCTATTATACTCACAACATTCAAAAACTCGGTTTTATCAACTGGGTCAGCCAACACGACGCTTCTAGCCATTATAGTGAGTACTGCATGTAGCGTATCCAGACCATACAAGGGTGCAGGCAGCTGTCTCAGTACTACAAGACCATCTTCTTCAGCCGGCGTGCGAAGATGTGGCTCACCGGCTATTTCTTGTAATTCTAGATTCACACCATCGTCTATCATATCTCTATGTTCTTCTGAAACCTGGAGAAGGAACCATAACATAAAACTATTGGCCATTTGACCTTGTTATTTAAATTCTAACGGAGGAGCAGACATGCACTACGGAGTTCAGCACCGTTACATAAAACTTACAATGCAAAGGTGTGTCTACATCCAGATGTTGCCAGCAACCAGTGGCGCTTAGAAACAGCTCGTAGTCATTTAGCAAATTGTGCTCATCCATTTTCTTGTTGGTGTTGAAGGAAAAAAACAGGAGTAAAATATTTTAAAATCACCTTGTCAGTTTCATGTATCAAGTCCAAAGAAGATAACTGTAGCAGTCGTGCGCGCAGAGCTTTTGTTATATACAGCAAGACACAAAGAGCCTCGCCAGGGCGCCCGCCGTGGTTACCATCTGATATTGTCAATAAACTCTGGAAAAATAAAATTTATAGTGTGAAGGTTAAATTATCACAAATATTAAGTAGTTTTCTTCAGTCTTTTTCTTTGATGTTTCGTAAACCCATCAAGTGTCATGTTATACATGTTTAAAATAGTTCATAAAAAGTCATTTTATGGAACAAGCCGGTAAAATATCAGTTGGATCACCTGATGGCAAGAAATTGGCGTCGCCCATGGATACCCGAAACACCAGAAGTGTTACAAGTGCGTTGTTACCGGCATTTTGGGGGTTACGAATTTAAGGATTATTGGGGATTCGGGAATTGGGGAGGAGGGTAATTGAGCCTTAGGTAACGTCAGTAAGAGTCTGACACTCCCTCCCGCCTCACCCAGGCGGGGGCAGTCATTCGATGATTTTCCCCCCTTAAAAAAAAAAAAAAAAAAAGGTAACTTCACTCACAGGACGAAACACAACGCAAGTGTTGTTTCACGTCGGTTTTCTGTGAGATCGTGGTATCAATCCGGACGAGCCGGTTCATACGTGCCGAAGCATAAACATACCTTTATAATCTCAGGTCTGTTCAAGAATATTTCAGCATAGAAATCGCGCAGGAAGACATCGCGAATGAATCTGCAGCACCGTCTTGTGGACTTCAATAGTCTTATGGCGTCTTCTACCAATAACAAAGTTTTCTTGTCAGATTGGCACAACTCTACCCATGGGAACAGTAGTACTCTTACACACTCCGTGGTGTTCAAGCTGAAATAGACAAAAGATGGAAATAAATGGAACATAATAAGGTACTTATGTAAACTGCCTCTTTGAGAACATAAACTATATAGAATTTCTGCGCAAAGTATTGTATCCTTTTTTACGTCTATCACTTTATCTAGCCCATACATCCCGAAGCGGTCACCGGTGACCACTCTCCACTACATGCTACATTATAGACCTTATTTCCAATTTTAGAGACTACTTTTGTATGAACAAATTTAGAGGATGAATTTCAACGGGCTAGAGATGAGACTCTAATGGGAAAATCTTGTACTATTATCTTATACTGGTGAGTTTGTTTGTTTGCTTGAATGCACAAATGTCAGGAACTGGCAGTCAAGCGTCGCCCATCAAATATAAAAAAAAATACTGGTCTGATTTGAAAAATTCTTTTTCTGTTTGATAGTCCATTTATCCAGGAAGGCTATATATATATAAGCTAGAAAACATCATGCTACAACCAATAAGAGCCTAGCGGAGCTAGGAGTGTAAACCCCCTGGAAGTAACTAGTATGTAAAATATTATTGGGTAGAAATATAAAAAGCTGCGTAAAGTTGTATGTACTCACCTCCTGTATCTATTGATATCAGAGTCATCATTAGAAATGGATGTAGCCTTAGATGAGTGAATATTAGGCTCCAAATTGTAATAACCGCTGCTTGACGCCCCATCACTTTCAGAACTGAAAACATAAATTGCAAACTTTAGAAGAAATAAAAGTACTTTTATCTAGTTAGGTAATACATAAATATATGAATATGTACACTATTTGGTCTTAAGTGGAAAGGCTTTTTCAAAAATGTATCCTAACAAAAAAATTATGACAGTAGACATATCTCTGTCACTGTAACATTTGCAGATAGAGAAGTGAGGCTTGCTCGGAGAAGATAAGGCAGGAATCATCCCAGTTAGAAAAATCTCATAATAGATGGCCATAGCCTTTTAAATTTTACCTTGTAATATCAGGTAGAGTCAACCGAGGGATATCCACGTTAACATCAGATTCAACAGTATTAAGAAATCTTAGGGTTTCAATTACATCATCATATAATTCTAGAGCATCACTGGCAATCCTATGATGCACTTTGTTCAAATTATTTAATATACTATCTATTCCAAACTCTCTAGCAATGTAGGTGCCAGCCTTTGTCTGAAAAACAATCAACAAAATACAAATATATAAATTGTAATACATTGTTATGATAGTGTTTACAGAAAGATTTAGTTAAACACAAAAGAGATGACAAAGTAAAGAGAGACAGAAGATATCTAGAACAATAACTTAATAAGAGACCTAAGTATGGATAAACCTATTACCTTTATAGTTGTAAGTAGTAATTCCAATGCTTCACTTTGTAAAGACTGTTGCGGTGTCTGGAACCATGCCAAAAGACCTTCTAGCAATTCTCTCGTACCCGACAGCTCATCATCTAACTCCCAACCTAATTTCAATTTTGCTAACAACAATAACAGAGATCTTTCACGAATTTCCTTCAGTGGATGACCTAAAACATTTCATGAAAACATTACGATAAATTCCCAAGTACTGAAACGAATATTTCATGATTTTTCCAACTTACTTAGTTTTTTGATGTACATAGTCAGCATTTCAGCATTAGCCATAATTTAAATTATTTTTATTTATAGAATAAACTAAAAAAGAAAACATGCATTGTTTTGTTTACAACTTTTGAGTTGTTAAATTTCAAATTTGACACTGACAATGACAACAGCGGTAAACAACATTATTTTCAACCCAAGCAGGTTTTATAGACTCGGTTGCCAAAGAGATTAAAACCCAAGCAGGTTAGAAATTATTCAATAAACATCGAAATAAAATAATCGAATAATTTAAATTTTATCTCAGAATTCATTACAGAACCGCAGAGGACTTAACGGGTTGCCGGGGCTCCGGTTCGAAGGGCAAGAGTACGAACGGGATAAAAAAAACTCAGAAATCATTAATGTTGAGAATCCAAAAAAATACGATCTACCTCAGCCCGCACTACACTAATATTTTAGTCGATTATTGAGACTGAAGCACTACTCGACTAAATTCGAACACAGTATTAGAGAGAAACGATATCCGGTTTAAGTCACAGTTGACAATTTGATGTTTACGTGCATATATGACAATGACAGTACTGACAGCTAAACAGCTTTTCAATTTCTGAGACCTATAGGAATTTTCAGATCCAGATTTTTGTTTTACTCCGGTAAAATAATATACCAGTATAGTCCAATAGAAGGTCCATTACATTTGTTTTGAAGTATTTTAGATGTGTATTCTGTTAATATTCCGGCTCCGGTATAAATACGGTATGTCGCTTACTTAGCATGATTGTGAATTTTAATCTTAGTAGATTTAACCAAAACAGATTATTGTACACCGGTGATAAGTATCACCGGTACTTATCACCACAATAATTTGTAATTAGTGTGGTATTCGTAGTGATTCTTCGTGTATTTGTGTAAACTGATTATTAATAATATTTGTAATCATGAACTAACCAGCAAATCTGTTATCAATGATTACTTTTATATAATAATAAATTAATTGTCTTTCATTTATCAACACAGGCGAGATAGACACCAAACACTGACCTATCAAGTATAAAAAATTGTAATTATTATTTAAAATTTATATAAAATCAATTTCAGATGGCAGACATTAAAGCTTTACTTAAAGATGCAAGAAAACTGATTGATGAAAAAAACTTCAAGGAAGCTCAAGAATGTTGCAAAAATATTTTGAGAAAGGATAAACAAAATTATTTTGGTCTAGTATTACTTGGAAAATCACTTCAAGATTCTGACCAGGCACCTCTAGCCTACCAAAAGGCTATTGCAAGCAAACCAGACCATCCTCTTGCGTGGCAAGGCCTTGCCAATTACTATGAAAGGATAGAAAATGAATCAAACAAAATCAAATTAATTACTGTTTACAATGAAATGTTAAATTTGCCAATGGAAGAAGAAAAAACCACAGAAATAATTACCAAACTGGGTCAGCTGGGTTGTGCCCTAAAAAGCAAAGAGTCTCTGAAAATGTTGGCTACATATTTAACAAAAGATCTTCCAAACACTTTATGTCATACTGCTGAAAAACATTTCATAGATCTGTTGAAGGCTGATATTCCTAGTGAGGAAGACACTATCCCACTTATCCTTAATGTCTTGCAGAAATTATACAAAGACGATCCTAGAGATTCTCTAGAAATTTTACAATGCAAACTAATCATTCAGAAACCTAACTTAGCTTCAGCTGTTGAAGAAATAATTAGTTTGAAGTTCTTCCCTTCCAATGTACTGCTAAGAGAATGGCTCTGCAAACAACTGTGCATTAAGTATGTGGAGAAAATGTCATTCTGTGAATTAAACATTGAACAACACATAGATACAATCAGTGAAGGAATTATGAACTCCAAATATCCAAGTCTTCTCAGGAGTATGATATGCTTCGACAAAGGTTTATACCTAGAAGCCTACAAACAATGTGTACCACTTGTAAATTATCAAGAAGCCGATGTCACTGAAGCCACTTTTATAATAAAATGTACAATCATGCTAAAAAAATGGTCTGTGACTCAGAAACTTGCAACCAACTTTATGACCAAAGTTAAAGATCAGCATTTTGCAGTTGTTCTCAAAAGATTTCTATTTTTATCTTTAACAAAACAACAAAAATGGAAACAATCAATAAATATTGCCAAAGATATAGCTATTGACTCTATGGAACCATTTGAGTTGGCCAGTCTTGCTGAATGTTATATTGAAGCTAATGAACCAGTTGATCATGTTCTGAAGCATTTAGAAACAACTGATTATTACAAACAATTACAGGCACTTTTACTCCAAAAACAAAACAAATATGATGAAGTGATAAAACTATTGAAAGAATCAGAAAATTCAATTGAGGTATATTATTTGGGTAAAGCATATTGGGAAATGAAGCAATATGATAAATGTTTGATGAGTCTACTAAAAGCAGCAAAACTAAATCCTGACCATGCTGATACATTTTTATACTTAGGTCACTACTACTATCACCATAAATCTGACTTACAGAAGGCTAAGAAATGTTACGAAAAAGCTCATAGTCTAAATGCTATAAGTATGAATATTGCTAAAAGTCTCAGTGAAATTTATGTTAAATTACAGCAAAAGGATGCAGATTTTGAACTGTTGAATGGCTTAGCAAAGAATATTTCCACTACAGAGTCTTGGGTGAATTTCAGATTAGGTCTGCATTATTTAAACAAGAGAGAATGGGAAAACGCAATTTTAAATTTCAGAAATGTAATTAAAAATAACCAAAGTGATACAACTGCTTTTGAGTGCCTGGCTGATGCATATTACTCTCGAGGATCTTACACATCTGCACTGAGGGCTTACAACAAAGTAATGACTTTGGATCCAAGTAAATCGGCACACTGTCTAACGAGAATTGGCCACATATATTCTTTGCTCACACAATATCAGGAAGCCATATCAACATTTGAAAAAGTATTCATTATTGAACCCTACTCTTTCTTGGCTCTCAAAGGAATTTCTGAAACATGGATGAGAGTAGCTAAGAAGAAAATTGAAGCAAACATGTATGGCAGTGCCAGAGACTGTGCACAGTATGCAATTGACTACATCACTAAAGCATTGTCTAAGCAAAATCAATACTTATGCTTTTGGAAATTGCTAGCAGACAATTTGATGTTTATTACTAAATTGCCTGATAAATATTCATTTGTCTACATGCCTCAATTATCGAAGGAAGGGGGTGAAAATTTCGAAATTACAAAGAAAACTAAACTAGAAATATTTCCCCAAGCAATTGCTTGCTACTCGCATATTGCTAAGCAAAAGCAGCAGGTATCATCATATGATCTAGCATTAGCCTATTTGAGTTTCTACCATGAAACTAAAAAAGTCGTAAACTGCCATATAGCGTTTAACTTAACTTTAAACTGTATAAAAGAGGGGCCTACTGTTTGGCGCAACTGGAATTTACTTGGAAAAATATGCTTAGCTATCAAAAAGTACGAAATTGCTCAACACTGCTTCATTAAAGCCCTCTCAGTAACTAGGAAATGGTCAGTCGCAAAAATATGGTGTAATTTAGGCACACTGTATTTGAAACTAAAGCTTTATAAGTTGTCAAACTATTGTTTTTCTCGAGGACAGTCTGCATTACCATCTCACCCACATAGCTGGATTGGCCAAGGATTAATTGCAGAAGCAATTCGTGAAGAAGAAGCTATGGATTTATTCAGACATGCTTCTCGTTTAGGATATCACCCAGAGAGCGCACTTGGGTATGCAGACTGGGTGTGTAGAACTTTGAAAAATAACAAATATAAAGATAACTCTGAGTCGAAATATGAAATAGAAGGTCTTTTTGCAATACCATATGCCATAGACTTGGTGGAATGGTATTGCAACTTCCAACCGACAGATGCATGTGCTTATAACTTAATGGGTATTTTACAAGAGAGATTTGGGTTGCTTCGTTCTGCTATTCAGTCTTATGAAAAGGCATTTAAATATGCAGAAGACGAAAACAAGAACAAGATACTTTTAAATATAGGAAGAATTTTTGTTAGGTTGGAAAGATATGATGAGGCAATAAAAATATTTAAAGCAATAACAGAAGCCAGTTTTGACTCTACAACTGGGTTAGCCTTAGCGCTGTATAAAAAGGGGTTATATGAGGAATCTTACTCGGTTTATGATACAGCTTTACACTGGCTGAGTAACGAAGATGCTGAGAAGGCCGATCTTTTGGTAGCCATGGCTGGTATTGTGTACATGTATAAGGGCGCTGATGACGCCAAGACGCTCTTATTCCATAGTATACAAATAGCACAGAAAAAACCAACAGCACACAGTTTATTTGCAATATGCTCTTTGGGCTTAATTCATTCAGACCAAAGTTTGTCAAAGTTAGCTTTGGGTGAATTACGTAAATATGAAATGGAAAGTGAATATGGCTTTGATATAGGATTTTTGAAATCCTATCTTTCTGTCTGTGAAGATAATATGGATCAGGCCATTAAGCTGTTGAGCGACTGTCTTCACGACCATCCCAGTAATGCGCTTCTATGGTTTTGTATGGCTCAGTATTGTCTGAGATCTGCTGATACAATGGCAAAAGTTGCTAGCTGCTGTGCACAGAAAGCTTTATGTTCTGCCCATTATGGTGAATATGATTGCGATTTCGGAAAAATTCTTGCCTCGGCCAGTATTGCAGAACACATAGCTGGTGATCGTGTTAAGGCCATGTTATTAGCAAAAGAAGGTCTTCACAAGTACCCTAACCAACCAGAAATATGGGCAGCTCTATTGTTCTCACTTTTGTCCCACAATATATGGATGGAAAATAAAACTTGGCTTTTGGGTGCATCAGGTTATATGCGCAAGTATTTGAATATGTCTCGACCTCTTGGAAGATGGGTAAACCTTATGGAAAAGAAACTGGGAAAAACTTTGTAGCTTTCTAAATCGGTATTATACTAAATAAAATATCACGACTTCACATATAGTGTCTCCTTGCAATACTTGTAGTTGAAAAAATGCTATGCAACTATTAATTATTTCCAAGTTTGTAACTAATATTGATTGTGTAATTAACCATTATATTACTGTTTGATCTAAGCTAAGCTTTTGAAACTGTGTAGAACATTAATATAAATATAGTGAAATGTATTTGTTTTTGTATCAATTTATTATGTAATTAATAAGTATAATAAAATAAAGTGATTATATAATTCAATCAGTGAATTTACACTTTA